GGCGTCCTCACGAGGCCCTCACGAGGGGGAGGCAGAGGGTGGGAGTCCCAGAGATGGGCAGACCCTGCGCTGCTGGCGGTGAGGACGGAGGGGGGGCCACGGGCCAGGAAGAGGCCGGAGCCGGGTCTCCCGGGGGCCCTGGGGGGACCAGCCCTGCCCGCGCCAGGGTTTTAGGACTTCCGAGCCCAAACAGAGTATCAATCCCCATGGTTTTAAGCCACTAAATTGGTGGCCATCCATCACAGTGGCCCCGGAGAGCTCCCACGTGGAGTGAGGTGAACCTTGGGCATCTGGGTCAGTGACCGCTGGTGGCGTGTGAATTTCAGCCAAACACACGGATCTCTAGTCCACGCTGAAGTGTTTCAATATCTACATCCGACTTTAAAATAAAACGCAGAGAGGCGCCTGGGTGGCTCAGTTGGTTAGGCGACTGCCTTCGGCTCAGGTCATGATCCTGGAGTCCCGGGATCGAGTCCCGCGTCGGGCTCCCTGCTCGGCGGGGAGTCTGCTTCTCCCTCTGACCCTCTTCCCTCTCGTGCTCTCTGTCTCTCATTCTCTCTCTCAAATAAATAAATAAAAATCTTTAAAAAATAAAATAAAATAAAACGCAGAAAGTAAGACGAGAGACGGGGCCGTGGACACGCGGCTGGAGCCAGACAAAGCGAGCACCGCAAACGTTACCGGTAGGATGGAGGCGGGAGGTGTGTGGGTGTGTGTCCGCTGGAGAAGTTCCTCAACCGTTTGGAAATTTTCATAATAAAACACTAAAGAGTAAAAACTGGAAGAAGCTCGAAGCTCCTGTTATCATGCCCAGCCTGGCCCTTTCTCCGATCGCCGCTCCCAGGAACAGAAAGGCAAGCCTTCGGACCGTGGACCAAGCTGCAGGAAAACAGGCAAGAACTGAGAGGTGTCAGCCAGCCCAGCAGCCATCTGGCCACGGATCCACACACATGCATCTGTGGCCGTGAGAGCGCAGGACCACGGGCCACGCACGTTGGAAGCCCCCGAGGGGATGGATGACACAGACGTGAGCAGGGCTTATCTCAAACGCACGAACCGTTCTTCTTATCTCCTTTGTACTTTCCATGTTCAGGCTCCTGGATACACCCAGTGAGGCAAATGTTTCCGCAGAGGTTCCCTGATAGAAAGAAAACGGTCCACAGGCAGAGGTCAGAACACGAAGGCGTGGCTATTCTATTTCCTGCCCCACGTGGCCCCCTCCTCTGTGTTCACCTAGTTTTACCTTCGTTTCTACAGAATTTCTGTTGCTAAATACGAGACCCACGGGGCGCCCAGCGGGCTCAGTCTGTGGAGCGCACGACTCTCCATCTCGGGATTGTGAGTTTCAGCCCCACGTTGGGCGTAGAAATTACTTAAAAAAATAAATAAATAAAGCCAAGAGCAATAAATGTTCACTGAGGACACTAAATATATACGGGCATATTTCTTACCAGACCTTTCCTTTTGTGTATATTTTTAATATCTGTGTTTACACTCTATGTGTGGATATAAAATACTCCACATTATATACATTTTGATATATTTATGTATTTACAAACACATATTTTGCTGTATCTAATTTTGTAGTATTTATCTATATACCTTATTCTGTATTATATTTCAGTGATAATTAATACTGTAGATAATATATTTATTCCATATAGCTTTATCTTTTTCTGGAACTCCTAACATTTTGTAACAGGTTTGAGCAGATAGAATTCATATACTATGCAATAAATCTCATTTATTTTATTTTTATTTTTTTAATTTTATTTCTTTTTTAGAGGGGGGAGGGGCAGAGGGAGAGAGAATCTTAAACAGGCTCCAGCCCAGCACAGAGCCCCACATGGGGCTCCATCCCATGACCCTGAGATCAGAGCCCTGAGCCGAAATCAAGAGTTGGTCACTTAACTGATGAGCCATCCGGGAGCCCCTGCAATAGGCTCATTTGAAGTGTACAATTCAGGGCGCCTGGGTGGCTCAGTCGTTGAGCGTCTGCCTTCGGCTCAGGTCACGGTCCTGTGGTCCTGGGATGGAGCCCCGCATCGGGCTCCCTGCGTGGCGGGAAGCCTGCTTCTCCCTCTCCCACTTCTGCTTGTGTTCCCGCTCTTGCTATCTATCAAATAAATAAAATCTTTAAAAAAAAAACCACTCGGGGCACCTGGGTGGCTCATTAAGCGTCTGCCTTCGGCTCAGGTCATGGTCCCAGGGTCCTGGGATCAAGCCCCGCATCGGGCTCCCTGCTCCACGGGAAGCCTGCCTCTCCCTCTCCCACTCCCCCTGCTTGTGTTCCCTCTCTCTCTCTGTCAAATAAATAAATAAATAAATCTTTAAAAATATGTTTAAAAAATAAATAAAAATAAAAACTAGCATCATGGGGCGCATGGGTGGCTCAGTCCACTAAGCCTCTGACTCTTGGTTTCAGCTCAGGTCATGATCTCAGGGTCTTGAGATCCAGCCCCGTGGCGGCCTCTGCGCTCAGTGGGAAGTCTCCTAGAGATTCTCTCCCTCCCTCTGCCCCTCCCCACCCCAGCTTTCGCTCACCCGCACTCTCTCTCTCTCTCTCTCTCAGATAAATAAATAGATCTTAAAAAAAACACAAAAAACAAAAAAAAACCTAGCATCGTTAGTGAACATCTGAACATCTTGTTTTGCAAACTACATTTTCTTTTCCCTTGAGAGTATGTTACAGTTTGGTGGTTCCTGGAAAGCTAAACATAGAATGACCCTATGACCAGCAATTCCAATCCTACACATCTTCCCAGAGGGACTGAAAGTAGGGACTCCAAATACTTAGTACACGCATGTTCCGAGCAGCACGATTCACAACGGCCTAAGGTGGAGACAACCCAGTGTCCACCATTGGACACACAGGTACACACAACACAGTCCATCCACGCACGGGAGCGTCCCGTGGCCACGGAGCGGGAACAGGAACAAGGCGCCCACACGCGCGGCCCCGGGGACGGACCCCGAGCCCACGATGCTCAGGGAGGGAACCAGACACAGAAGGCCACGCGGGGTGTGAGTCCACGTGAGTGACACGTCCAGAACAGGCTCAATTTTTTTAAAGATTTTATTGAGAGAGAGAGAGAGAGAGCACAAGCAGGGGGAGGGGCAGAGGGAGAAGAAGACTCCCCGCTGAGCAGGGACCCCCCCCCCCGCAATGCGGGGCTCGATCCCGAGAGCCCGGGATCATGATCTGAGCCGAAGGCAAATGCTTAACTGACTGAGCCACCCAGGCGTCCCCCGTGAGGCTAGTTTTTAATTTTTTTTTTTTTTTTTTGCGAGAGAGAGAATGAGAGAGAGCACGAGAGGGAGGAGGGTCAGAGGGAGAAGCAGACTCCCTGCTGAGCAGGGAGCCCGATGCGGGACTCGATCCCGGGACTCCAGGATCATGACCTGAGCCGAAGGCAGTCGCTTAACCAATTGAGCCACCCAGGCACCCGGGTTTTTTTTTTTTAAGATGTATTTATTTTAGAGAGAGAGAGATCGCAGACACACATGTGAGCAGGGGGAGGGGCAGAGGGAGAGAGACTCTCAAGCAGACTCCCCGTTGAGTGTAGAGCCCAGTGCCGGGCTCGATCCCACAACCCTGAGATCATGACCTGAGCCGGAACCAAGAGTCGGGACACTGAGCCACCCAGACGCCCCTGGAATTCACTGTTATGTAACCTTTGGTTATCTTCACACATTTTAATATTAAAAACCACTTTTTCTTATGGGTGACTAGCCTGGTATATAAAGTATATCTCATAAAGCTGGTGTTAAGAAAAAAAGAATTGAAAGGAGGGATTCAAATAGGTATTTGCACACCTGTGTTCACAACAGCATGATTCACAGCAGCCAAAAGGTAGAAACACCCCAGTGTCCATGGATGGATGAAGGATACACACGGCGCGGTCCGTCCCCACGCGGGAACACACTCCAGCCTCAGGAAGGAAGGGACCCTGACACCTGCCACGACGTGGAGGGACCCCGAGGACACTGGGCTCAGTGAGAGGAGCCAGACCCAGAAGGACACATCCCGCAGGACCCCACTCCCAGGAGGTCCCCAGAGGGGTCCCGTCCACACAGACAGAGAGGAGAGGGTGGGAGCCGGGGCTGGGGCAGGGGGTGGGGAGTCCGTGCTTTGTGGGGACAGAGTCTCCGTGTGGGGAGATGGAGAGTTCTGGAGACGGAGGGTGGGGGTAGTTGCAGGCCAGTGTGAATGTGCTTCATGCCGCTGAGCTGTGTGCTTAGAAGAGATTAAAGTGATATATTTCATGTTCTATATATTTACCACAATAAAAAAATTAATGCATAAAAACCCATGATGAACAAAATACCCACATTTTATATCTTATAAAGACAGGATCTGACACTGTAGTTGACCAAATTACTTCCCCTCCCCTCCAATCGCAGCCCTGTCGGATGCCAAGGAACAGATAAACACAGCGTGTCCCCCACGCACAGGAGTGTCCCGCGGCCATGGACAGGAGCGAGGCGTCCACACGTGCGGCCCCGGGGACGGACCCCGAGCTCACGACGCTCAGGGGGGGAACCAGACATGGAAGGCCACGTGGGGTGTGAGTCCACGTAGGTGACATGTCTGGAGCAGGCTCATCCACGGATGGGAAGGGGGCTTGTGGGGGCGGGGGCTGGGGAGGGGGTTGCTTTTGTGGTGACAGAATATTCTGGAGCTGACTGTGGTCCTGGAAGCACAGCTGCGCCCGTGGTTACGGTTACGGAATTCGGATTCTAGACGAGGAAACAGGCCTCTCGGCTGGTGCCTCGCGCTGGCCAGCCCGGGGAGCCCTCCCTCACGCCCCTGGTCCCGCAGGCCACCTCCCTGCTGCTCTGGGTGCAGGGAGGCGGTTGGCGGTTGGCTTCACCTCGGCGGAGCCCGGCCGCCTTCAGGCTTCATAGGCCTGCTGACCGAATTCGAGAGAGAAAGCAAGGTGACCCTCTGTGGGTGCCCTCACCTCCGGGACCTGCTTCTCTGAGGCTCAGAGACAGGAAGCGACAGCCCCAGGCCGCCGTGGCCAGCCGGCCAGTGGCTCTGTGCTGAAATGGGGGTGGGGTCACCCTCTGGCCGAGGCCCGGTCCTGCTGCAAGGGGGGGGGCCGCCCCAGCCTCAGTGCCCCCGCGGCCCTCCTCCCCTTCCCGCTGCGGCCTGCTCAGCGGATTGGCCCACACTGCTGCCTCCAGACACCTGTCGCTGTCTGTCTGGGGGCCACCCTCCCCGGGCTCCATCTGTCCAGCGGGCTCACTGCGGTGACTGTGGAGTAAGTGGGGCAGGGGGAGGCCTGGGCAGAGGTGGGGGTCCCTTGGGTCTGGGGAGGGCATCTCTGAGGTCCACGGGGGCCCCCGACTCTTATGGCTGCCCCCCTACATACCTAAGGGCACCTGCCCACGGCCCATCTGGGCCCCTCGCGCAGTGCCCTGCTCCAGCCCCGGGGAAGGGTCACTCTTCCGACCAGAGATGTCAGAACAAGCTAACGCCGGCAGCCAGGGGCATGGGGACCCCAAAACATGGCTGTGGGAAGCCATCAGAGCTGGGTTTGACCACAAGCTGCCCACGACCTCTGGTGGATGGCTCTCCCTGGAGACTCAGTTTCCCTCTCTGCCCTATGGGAGTAGAGGCCGTGGGAGGAGGCAGGGGCCCCAGCGCTGGGATCAGGAAGCCCCAGGGCCCCCCCGCTCCTGCCTGTGGTGGCCAGAGTGAGGCCGGTCCTGGCTGCTACAGCCTGAGCTTCTGGACTGAGGGGCTGGGGGCTTGGGTGCCAGAAACGGCCGGCCCAGAAGGACAGTTCAGAGACCCTGCGGGGGGCAAAAGCCTGGGAGGGGCCGGGCGGCAGTTCTGCCTGTTCCACTGGCCTCCAGCACTGGATAAAAATAGTGCCTGGTCTCAGAGAACCTGAGCCGACCCTGGGGCCAAGGGTTCTGGTCTGGGCTGTCTTAGCTCATCTGCGTGGGACCTTGGGTGGGTCCCAGCCCTCTCTGGGCCCCAGGGCGGGGGGGGGGGGCAGCTGGAGGGAGCAGCTGGGCCACGCCCGCCCGAGGGTGACTCTGCCACGCAAAGGAGGTTCCAGGCAGAAGGACCAGCAAAGGCTGAGCTGAGAGGCGGGGGGCCACTTCATTCATGTATAAGGGGCGCCCCCAGCTCAGGCCCGGGCCCACAGCAGGAGCTCAGCAAATGCAAGATGCCTCTGACCAAGACGCCCCCTCTCCAGGCCTCCCCCTGCCCAGCCCCAGATCCGAGGTGCTCAGACGTCTCCATGACAACCAGGGCCTTGCAGGAGCTGGATGGAGGCCTGGGCAGCTGCCAAGCAGGCGAGGACCTCTCCACACTGGCTGACCCCTGCCCTGACCAGCCCCAGGAGGACAGGGCTCAAGGTACCCACAGGGGTGCGGGCCGGACGGAGCCCCCACCCCCGTCCTCCTGTTGAGCCAGGTAGCTAACCGGCAGAGACCAGGACTAAGACTCCCACGTTGAACTGGCTCAAACTGTGCTCCCCGTTTCCACCCTCTGTGTCCATTAGTGCCTTGGAGGATCTATAAGGAGCCCCAGGGACACGGGTCCTGGGCCACGCAGGTCAGGACTCAAATCCCAGCTTGCCAGCAAAGTGCTGCGTGCCTTGGGGCAGGACTGCCCCTGAGCCTGTTTGCTTTCTAATCTGTAAAATGGGAGCAATCCCCCGCCCCGGCAGCAGAGCCCAGCAGAGGGTGGGATGGGCCTTAGGGGTGTGGGGGGGTGTCTCACGACCTTGACTCTCCCTCTTCTCCTCCAACAGCTATGCCCAGGCTGGCCGACTCTAGCGGCTGGCCCCATGTGAGTAGCCGGGGCCCTGGGGTTTCTGCCTGGGATGCCCCTGGAGTCAGGGACACGCTGGCCAAGGGGGTGGCTTTCTACACCCCATGGGAAGGCTCTGGGTTCCCTTGGAGGAAAGAGGGGAAGGAAACACCCCGGGCCACTCACGACTTCTCATAGGTTTCTCAAGCTGAGGGCAGCCCCACAAGCAGTGTGGATGCCAGACCCAAGAAGACAGAAAAGGAGCCCGTGGCCAAAGTGGCCCCAGGACCCGGGAAAGAGAGGCTGAAAGCAGGAGCAAGTAGGTTTGCAGAAGGCAGGGGTGAGGTGGGGGAGTGGGTATGGCCCAGCAAGGGGGGCAGGGCCTGGGCTGGGTCCTTGGATCTGGGAGCAGGGACAGGGTGCAGTGAGGCTGCTGGCTGGGTTCTATCCCTGCGTCTCCAGCGGTAACTAACAGGGCTGGAAGCCTCCGCTGATTCACGATAACACAGCGGAAGGTGCTCCTAGGCTTCAGCTCATCGCCTTCTAGAGCATTCTCCACATCCCAGCGAAGCTCTGAAGCTCGCAGGCTTAGCTCCCTGGCCGGAGCCGTAGCCCAGGCAGGGCTGAGCCCCTGGGGGCCACACCCAGCCCAGCCCTTGCTCCCCGCAGCGCCCCGGAGCCCCGTGCGCAAGAAGGTGCAGGCCTCACCACCCCCGGCCCCGGCCCCGGGCGAGGAGCTGCCCTGGGGAGACCTGTCACTCAACAAGTGCCTGGTGCTCGCCTCATTTGTGGCGCTGCTGGGCTCGGCCTTCCAGCTGTGCCGCGGTGAGCCTGAGCCCCGCCCCCCGCCCCCCGGGAGTGGCTGCACCTGGGCGCCCGCCCGCCCTCCCAGGGGAACTCCTGTGCCCCCAAGGATTGGATCTGTGTGCCCCCCTCCAGGGGTGGGTCTCATATACCTGCCCCCCACCCTCCGCTGGTCCCCTTCTCCCTGGTGTGGACTCTGTGAGGACTCCTTAGTCCCCTCACTGCCCCACTGTGCAGCCCTGTGCAGCCACTGGCCTTGTGCGCCCCCCGGACTGGGCCTGGGCCCTCCCTCTGTGCGGGCTTTGGTGGAAAGCGCCTCCTCCCCCTCCCCCCACCGTGGACCTTCTCCGGGGGCCCTCCCTCTCCCAGATCGGATCTTGGCGCGCCTCTCTCCTCCCTGAACAGGTCCTCACCCCTCATGGGCTCTGCCCCCCGGGACTGGCCCCGTGAGCCCCCTCTGGCTAGTATGCGCCAGGGAGCTCCTGTAGCCCGTGGAGAAGCATGGCCAGCCCTTTTGCAACTGGAATGAGAGCGATTTGGGGCGAAGGGGGCGCCTTAGCTGCGGAGGCCAGGAGCCTTCCCTTCTGGAGGCTGGGAGGGAGGGGAGAGCTCTGGGGGGGAGGGCTGGGATGGCGGGTTTGGTCTGCGCGCCTCGGCCTGGGCTGACTCCCCTCCCCTCCAAGATGCTGTGGCTGGGGAGGCAGAGGCCCCTGCACCTGTCCCTGAGCCGTGGGTACCTCCAAGCTCTGCCCCGGAGCCAGCGTCAGCCCCGGTAAGTGCTTCCATTAAGGGACCACAGGCCCTTGGGGGAAGGGGCCTGAGCCCCACGCAGGGCAGGTGTGCGCTGACCCCACCACCTCACACGACCGGCCTTGCAGTTGCGCCCGAAGCCCAAGGCCTGGGCGCCCCCATCGGGACCTCGGGCGCCCCAGATGGAGAAGGAGGAGAAGGCCGAGGTTCCAGCAAGCCGGGAGAGTGCCGGGAAGGCTGCTGGGGAAAAGCGCGCGCCCAAGGAGCCTCCACGCAAGGAGGAGAGGCCTCGAAAGGAAAGGCCGCGGAAGAAGCCGCGGAAGGAGGTGAGGCCTCCGAAGCAGGAGAAGCCACCGGCCGCCAGGGAGCCCCGAGCAGCCCTACCCCGGCGCTGGGAGCTGCGCGACGGGGGCCATCGGCATTGGATGCAGGACTCCCGAGACCCGGGACACAAAAAGAGTCAGGCCTGGGACTCCCTGCGGCGCCCCGACACGGACCGGCCTCCCCGACACCAGAAGCACCCTGCGGGCAAAGGGCGGGACTGAGCCAGGCCCGGGTCCCGGGACACAATCCTGCCCCCCCCCCCCCCCCCCGTCGGTGGCCCCGCGGTTCAGCGAAATAAATTGAGCGCTGCCGCCCCAGGGTCGCCTGCTCCTTCGAGCCTCCACGCCGGCAGCTGCCCGGGCCTGAATGGCGGAGATGGTAGGTCTAGGCTGGGATGCGGGGTGTGGGCAGGAGTCGAGGCCGTGGGCGCCGTCGGGGATGGCGCTGCCCTCCGCGCCCGGGGAGAGCTGGCCAGGACGAGGCCCCCGCCTGTCCGCAAACGCACATACACATCAGCTAGTGTTTGCTGGTCTTTATTGGGGCGGGGATTGGGGTCTGAATAAATACGGGCGGGGACGCCCCTGGCGGCCGGCGCGGGGGTCAGCGGCAGCCGCACTCGGTGGCCACCATGTTGGGCACGTGGTGCGCGCGGATGCGCTCCTCCGACAGGCTGATGAGGAGCTTGCCGGCGTAGGCCGTGGGCACGCAGCAGGGCGGGCGCGCCAGGGCGGCGCCGCGGGCCTGCATCTTGAGCAGTAGCACCACGTGGCTGCCGTAGCGCGGGTTGCGGTCGGACTGCGGCCAGCCGCACGCGCCCTGGCAGTTGTTGGCCTGGTACGTCTCGGGGATGAGCACCGAGCGCTCGGCGCGCAGGTCGACGCTCAGCTCGCGCAGCGCGCACGGCCCGTCCGCCGCCCCGGCGCCCGCGCTGCGCTGTGCCCGTGGGGGCCCGCTGCGCTCGCGCCCCCGCCACTCGGCGCGCAGACCCTGCAGCGCCTTGAGCAGCAGGAGCGCGCGCAGGGGGTCACCCGGGCCGCCGGGGTCCCCCGCGCCCCCCGGGGCCCCGGGGCAGAGCGCGAGCAGGCGCTCCAGCAGCAGCGTGGCGGCGGGCGGCAGCCCCGGGAGCCCGCGGAGCTCGGCGGCCGCGGCCCGCAGCTCGGCGGCCACACGATGCGCTAGGCCCGCGGCCCAGGGCGCGGCCTCGGGGCCCTGCAGCGGCGCGGGGTCCCCGGCCGTGGCCGAGGCCCGTGGTAGCGTCAGCGGCTCCTCGCCGTCGAGCAGGTGCTCCTGTGTCGCGGGGTCCGACAGGTTGACGAGGCCCTGCGGGAAACCGGCCAGCGCGCCCGGGTCCAGCGCCAGGCGCGTTGGCGAGGCCTGGGCGGGGGGGCCCCGCAGGGCGCGCACTAGGCGCGTGAGCGTCTGCAGGAAGGGGTCTGCGCCGGGCGGTGGCTCCTTGGCCTGCTGCTCCTGGGGGAGCCTGGAAGGCGGAGTTGGGAGGGATGAGCAGGTACAAGGTTCCTCCCCTCCTCCTCCCCCTACCCCACCTGGGCCTGCGCACACCTGGGTGGCGGGAAGGGCACTCGCTCCAGGAGGCCGTGCGCGGGCATTGGTGCGGGCCCGGGCAGTGGCAGCAGGAGCAGGGCCGGGGTCATCCGCGTGAAGCGGCGGGGGTTGGGGCCGAACAGCAGGTCCTGCAGCTGGGTGGTGCTCAGGGGTGCACCTGTGTGGCCTGGCGTGACCCGGGGGTGGCTTAGTGTTGGGGGGCCGAGGGCAGCCCGCCCTTGCCGGGTCCCTGCCTTTGAGAGCCTACCGTCTCCTTGGGGTTGCAGGGTCAGGGTGACCCCAGGGCTCTGCCAGTCCCCCGCTGGGTGGTCCACGGCCAGCACCAGGTAGCGCGTGTCCCGGGACCAGCAAAGGTTCTGTGGAGATGGGGGCTCAGCCGAGCTGGGTGGGGTGAGGGTGCCAGCCCTGCTCTGCCCGCTGCCCAGCCAGGACACTCGGAACCTTGTTCAGCACAGTTTAAAAACTCCATTACCCGGGCGCCTGGGAGGCTCAGTCGGTTGGCCGTCTGCCTTTTGCTCAGGTCATGATCCTGGGGTCCTGGGATCGAGCCCCACATAAGGGCTCTCTGCTCAGCAACGGAGTCTGCTTCTCCCTCTGCCCGCCCCCCGCCCCCCCCCCTCTGCTGGGTGAGGGCTCCAGGAGGCCTGGGAACCGCCCCATTCAGTGCCCTGGTACCTGGGTGCCTGGCAGCCCAGTCCCGGTGACAGCGACCTCGGGGCCAGGCCCGGGGTACAGCACCAGCAGCGCCAGCTCTAGAGGACCGGCTCCTCCAGGTGGGGGCGCCTGGAACTTCAGTGAGAGTGTCGGCTCCCAGGTCACTGTGGCCGGGACAGACAAGGAGGGGACGACACCTGAGCCACTAAAGCCCAAGCCCCTCCCCGAAGCCCATCTTCCAGTCCTGCAGGGAGAGCCCCCAACCCAACCGGGAGCCTTGGGGACCTGGTGGGAGAGGTCTGACACCCCAACGTGGGTAGCCCGGAGGGATGACCGGCCGCCACTGGTCACCCCTGACTCCTTGGGGTCTGAGGCCAGTGGCTCCCAGGGACAGGCCAGCTCTCACAGCAGGGACGCCTTGGCTGGACCGGCCCCACTCCCTTGGGCTCCGGGAAGTGCAGGCATGGACGGGCTCGGGAGCCAGGCTTTGGGGGCTTAGAGCCGCACACAGAACCTAAGGGCCCCCGAGGAGGCTGGGGAGGAGGCTGGAGCAGGGGCTCTGGCAGCGCCCTATCTCGAGAGTGCGGCCATCTCCCTTCTCGGGAGACCGGAGCCAGATCCCCAGCCCAGCTGGCGCCGCGGCCCCCCACCTACCTTCCTCCAGGTGCAGCACGGCCAGCCGCCGCCCCGCCGGCTCCCCCAGCCATGCCTGCAGCTGCCGCAGAGGGAGCAGGGCGGGCTGCCCGGCGCTGGCGGCACAGACCCCGAAGGTGGCCAGGTCGCGGGGACCCCAGCGTGCCCGCCGCACAGCCTCGAGGAAGGCGTGCTCGTAGCGTCTCAGGGCCCCTGCCACCCGAAGCGGGCTGCTGCCCCTATTGCCCTTCTGGTCCAGGGTCACCAGGCACAGGGGGTCTTGTGGGCTGCCTGGCGGCCAGTCCCAGTCTTGGTGGAAGATGAGCCCCCCCGCGCCTGTGGCCGGCTCTCTGGGCGAGGCTGGGGTGCTGGAGCCCTCTCCTGCGGGGGCCCCGGCTCCCAGCAGGGGCCCCAGCACCGACAGCACCAGGGCCAGGGGCCGGAGTGGCAGAGCCCGCATCCCGGCTCCGGGAGGCGCTGGGTGGCTCTGGCTTCTGCGGGCGAGCACCGGCTGTTTGTGCAGAGCAGCCCCTCGCCCCTCCTGGGGTGTGACCTTGGGGACCAGTGCCGGGCGCTCGCTCAAAGCCTCTTCTGTTCCCGCCTCACTGCCTATCTTCTTACCCACGATACAAGGTGCAGCCTGTGACCAACTTGTCAAGCGCCTGTCCTTGACGAGGCTGTCCCCCCTGGGGCGGGAGTGGGGCGGGGAGCGGGGAGCGTCAGCCCAGACGCTCAACAGCGCTGGGACGGATGGGGGGAGGGGCAGGCCTGGACCAGGGCAGAGGGCGGGTGCCCCAGAGGACCCCAAGTCCTGGTGCTCCGACCGCTGGGTGGGCAGGCCCAGGCAGCGGGTGGTCCCCCCCGCTCAGCTGCGGCTCCCCGAGTGCTCGGTCACACTGTCCCCGACGGCTGAGCAAGAGCAGCTCTACCCTCCTCACGAAGGAGCTCCCAGACCCAGTGCCCTCACCCACCGGCATCCTGTAAGGTGCAGGGACACTGATGGCCCAACCCTGAGCTGCCCCTGCGTGTGGTGGGGGAGCCCGGCGCGTGTTCACCAACAGTGAGTGGGCGCCCCCACTCCTCTGCCCCATCGCCCCCCAGCCACCGACACAGCAGTGCAAGCTGGGCCTCGGGGGAGGCGTTTAATGAGCAGCGGGGACACGTCACAGCCCCGTACAAAAGAACCAAACTCCGCTCTGAAGGAAAACACAACACACCAGACTTGCCTGGAGAAGGGGCTGCCTTTCAGTTGGCTGGGGGAGGGGGAGGAATGTTCCCAGGGCCTTCGGAGGGCAGTGGGGGCCTCAGCATCGGGGGCATGGGAGTAGGGGGATGTACCCCTGGATTTGAGGGGTGAACTCCAGGAGGCTGGGGGTGGACCCCAGGAGCTGGAGGATGGACCCCAGGAGCCGACGGGTGGACCCCAGGAGGTGGAGGGTGGACCCCAGGAGGCTGGGGGTGGATCCCTGGGGCTGGTGGGTGGACCCCAGGAGCTGGTGGGTGGACCCCAGGGGCCTGGGGATGAACTGCAGGAGCTGGAGGGTGCACCCCCGGGGCCTGGGGGTGAACTGCAGGAGCTGGTGGATGTACCCCTGGAGCCTGGGGGTGAACCCCAGCAGATGGCGGAGGATGGACACCCGGAGCAGGTGGGTGGACCCCTGGGGCTGGAGGGTGGACACCCGGAGTTGGTGGGTGGACCCCAGATGTTGGTGGGTGGACCACCGGTGCCGGGGGGTGAACCCCGGGAGCTGGAGGGTGGACTCCTGGTGCTGGGGGGTGGACCCCAGATGTTGGGGGGTGGACCCCTGGTGCCGGCGGGTGGACACCGGGAGCTGGCGGGGGCAGCTGGGGAGGGCCCGGAGGCCCTGAGGGTGCAGGCCCACTGGGCGGCATGGGTGGCAGAGGCAGGCCTCCCGGCGGTGGCGGGGGCAAAGACTCTGGCAGAGGCGGCCGGGGCGGCAGACCATTCATCAGGGGGGGCGGGGGTCTCTTCACCCCAGGAGGCCCAGCAGGGAGGCTCGGCGGGGCTGGCGGCTTCTCCATCTTGAAGTGAAACTGCAGGAAAAACTGGAGAGAAACAGAAAAGGCTCAGTGGGGCCTTTGAGGCCCTGGGTGAAGGGGCAGGCTGGCCACGGCAGCCATCAAAGGCCCCAGAACTGCCGGGACCCCAGCCTGGCTTACCTGTTTGGTTTCCCGATTCCAGTGAGTCCAGAACTTGCCTTCGGCCTTATCGATCTCCCTGCTGGGCACCTGCGGGGGGCGGGAGCTCAGTGGAGTGTGAGGTGCCAGTGTCCCAGGCAGGGGACAGGATCCAGTTTCCGCGTGACAGACTAGCCCCACTACTCAGCAAGCCTGCCGGGGGGAGGTGCGGTTTGCACTCTCGTGTGTGTGGCCCCGGACAAGGTCACGGGAGCCCCGAACAGCCTGGCAAGGAGGACCTCTCACTGCGAGGGGCACCCGGCCGCAGGACACCCAGCCTTCCAGAGGCAAGGACCTGCCGAGGGGGCATCTGTGGAGTGGGCTGGAGGCCAGGAACTGGCCGCTCCCCACAGTGCGGTGGATCTGGGGACCCCACATGTGCTACCTTGAAGGCGATGGTCTCGTAGGGCTCGGCGGCCATGAGCAGGTACTGCCAGCGCCGGTCGGGGGGCTCGATCCTCTGCTCGTAGGCGGACATGAAGCGGTGGCGGGGCATGATGCCCTCGGCGATCTCAGGGTAGTCAATCTGTGGGGACACGGCAGGTGGCAGCACCGCCTTTCAGGGGACCCTCCCCCCTCACGACCGGGCTCCAGGCTTCAACTTACCTGGAAGAGGAGGCTCTGCTGGCCCATCTCCGTGTCCCTCTGCTTGGTCACTGCAACACACAAGGGTCTCAAGTCCAGGCCAGCTTGTCCTCCCTGAAGCTAAGGCAGGGATGTGGCCTAATGCCGCCCCCAAACAGGAGGGAAGGACACTGGGGGACCCATACTCGGGTGGCTGCCGCCCAGGGCCAGCAGAGTCCCTGCCTGAGGTCACGGGGAGGGGTGCAGGCAGGACAGTGGGTACCATTGCCCTCCCTGGAGGCCCGGGACAGCACCGGGCAGGAGCTCCAGACTGGGCACGCTGGGCACCTAAGGCCAGCGAGGTCTGCACCCCGGCTGCTGGGAGGGTGCCCTTCGCACGAGAGGTCTGCAGCCAAGCCTCCAGCAGCCATGCCCCCACTTCCAGGCCGCTCTCCCTGCAGCTCCGAGGCACGCCACACTCGGCCCCCCTTACGCCCTCAAGCGTCCCCCCGCTTTACTCAGGACAGACAACAACAGATGCCCTATTATGGCCAAAAGGCCTTTGACAGCCTCCCCACAAGGATCCTATCATCTCAACCCTAGCTTATGATAGAGACGTGCCCCAGGGCCTTTGCACTGCTGTGTCCTGCCTGGAATGCCAATCCCCCACATGCTTTTTTTACCTTTATTTAGGATATATGCCTAATAGCTTTTTCTTTCTTTCTTTTTAACTCCCCGGACCACAGTTCTCTACATTCCGTTGAGCCACTTAACCAACTTTCTGGCAGGTGATACAGGAATCCTCCTCTCTGCCCAAGGGTTCCACTGAGTAAGTGGTTTCTTACACGGACCCTCCCCCTTCTCCTCCCCCCCCAGGGTCAAAGGAAAGGGACTCATGGCCCCTCATCCTCACAAGGCTCCCCAGACACCAGGATAAGGCACAAGGGGCCCAAGGGAAGCCCTGACACTGTGATGCGGTGGTTTGGGAAAGTTCACAGGGAAAGTGGGGCCCAGGGCACTAGTGATGGACCAGTGGGAGAGGCGTGGGCGAGGGAGGGCCCCTGCTTCGAAGAGAACAGCAGTCTCCATGGGGCTCAAGGACGAGGGATGGGGGCCGTGGCGAAGGGCTCATTCATGCCCAGCACCAGGGGCAGGCCAGACCACGCTCCCAGACAGAATTACCTTTGTAGCCTGGGCGGCCAATCTTCACAAACTTCTTCACCTCCACCTTGACCTTTTCTGGCGCCGGCTGGGCGGGGGCCTCCTTGGCCTCCTTGGCGGCTCGCCGGGCCCTGCAGGTGGGATGGATATGGAGCTGTGGCCCCTGCAACACAGGCCGCCAAGGCCACAGGCCCAGGTGCTGGGAGCTGTCCAACCCCCACACTGACCTCGGAGTTTGTTTGAGAGGCCAGGGGCATAGGGGGGCTGGCTGGGGGTCACGGGGTTTGCATGAAATGGGGATGAGACAGACTTGGGGCACCCCTCTCTTCTTGTCCCCTTTCCCACTGTCCCTTATTAGGGAGTCTTACGTGAACCCTCACCTCTTTCCCCTCGTGTCCCGGAAGCCTGACGCTCAAGCAAGATCAGTTAGCTTAACCACTGCGGAAAAAGCACCTTCCACCTCCCCTGGCATCCCCCCTCCACCGGCCCTGAGGCATGGCTGGGCTGGCTTGAGACCATCTCACGCAGGGATGCAAGTGACGCCTCGTTTACCTCGGAAGCCGGACCCTGGGCACTGGAAGGGGCCTGAGGTACTCACAAGTTGGTCTGATGCTTCTTCCCTTGGGTATGTGCCAGGTAGCTCCCCTGCAGTGGGAAAAGCACACGGACAACTCAAGGTGGGTGGGGGCGCCCCGAGAGAAGGAGCCGGCCTCTGTCCACCAGGCCACTGCGGAATGAACAAGTTCTATGGGGTTCACACAAAGCGGAATGAAACGCACACAGAGCCTAAGAAAGTAAGTCTGCAAACGTCAGTGGTCACGGCGTGTGGGACACGGCAGTCTTGCCGCCTGCCGTGGGGGTGGGGGGGCTTAGTGGACCTGGCTGGATGGTGGAGACCACTTGGTACCACTTGGCGGACCCACAAGTGAACATGCCCTGAGACCCTGTGTGTCTGTTCGGACTACAGCCCAGGAGACCTGTCCCCGGACAGCAGGACAGACTCTACGTATTTCTGGACCAGCACAGGGACACTGGGCCGCATCCGGGGATGTCTGTGGTCGTCACGCTCAGCACCCCCCGAGGACGGCCCGGCTCTGACGTCAGCAGTGCTAAGCGGGCAGACCCTGACAGACGAGACTGGCCAACTCAGAACTACTTACACACAAACTGAAAACCACCAGAACGTTAAACGGTGTGAAAAAGACAAACGAAATCTGTTTGTTCCTGAATCAGGGCCAGGTGAGCACTCGTGAGAGCATCACTGGGACAATCCTAGGGTCGCTGAAAGAGATGAGCTAGAGCCACATCAACGAGATCTCAAAACCTGGATCTAGACCGGACCGTCCGGGACTGTGCCCACCCCATGCCTGCAGGCACGTATTCACGCGGAATGGGCACTGACGGTGTTCAAAGCAAGCGGGCTGGAGGGAGCCCTGCACACCCAGGGCGGCAGCGGGCGCTGGGGGCGCAGGCTGGTCAGTGAGCAGACCTGAGCCCCGCCACCCCCGGCCACGCTCTGAACGACGTCCCAGAATTAACAGGGAGAGCACGATGGGACAGGGGTGGGATCGGCGGAGCAGCAGGACCCTGCCCGGAATGGAGAAGGCAGGGGTAACGCACCTCATTGTTGTGCAGGGTCAGACACAACTTGCACTCGTACGAGCCCAGATGGTTCTTCATGAAATACGGGTCCTGCGCAGGGAGACACACTCCATTAGCAATCTCGCCCTGTGGTCCCCGCCCCCCGTGAAGAGCCAAAGCCTTCCCTTTGTCCACGACGCACAGCCCTCCCTCAACTGGCAGAGAGGGCGGCTGCTTTCCTCCTTGGCAGGTGTTCTGAGGACAGAGGACTAGCAGCAGCCTGCAGCCCGGGGCCCCACAGGGCCTTCTGAGGCAGCACTGTGGGGCCCCCTGGGATCCCGCGGACACAGGCCACCTGGCAGGGCTGGGGGCCTACAACGCCGGTGCCTGGCCCCACGTCTGGGGCAGTTCTGGGCCTAGACCGCAGCAGAGCCAAAACAGCACTGCTGGGCGCCCACCTTCTGGGCCGGGACAGAGATCTGTCGCCAACCACGCCGGCATTCCAAGCACCACCACCCAAGCCAGGTGTGGGAAGAACAGAAGCAAATGGGTTAAAACAAAGGCCCACGGAGACCCTTGTCTCTGTGTGCGGGGGCTCCCAGGCCAGACCGGTGACTTTCCATGAACTAAGGCCGCAGAGTAAGTGCTTCTGACTGCAGGCATGGGGCAGACAGCTGGGGTCCAAACCCTAACTCCACTGCCCAGCGGCCGTGGCATCTTTGGCAATGACGGTCCTGTCTTGTTTCCTCAGGAGAATGTTAGCAGAACAGACCTCAGAGGTGAGGGCTCGACACATGTCAGAGTTCAAAGTCTAAGTGGAACCACACACACGCTGACCGCTGGGGGTCACGCCCAGGGTGACTCTGCCCCCAGGCGACACTGGGTGATGTCTGGGCACATCTGTGGTCCTCACAACTGGGATGCTCCTGGCACTGAGTGGGTGGGAGCTGGGGACACTGCCCAGCTGCCAACAGTGCCCTAAATTTCCGAAGTGCCAAGGGGTAGACTCTGGTCTGCCCACGGCTGTGTACACCCAAATAAAATGTCGCCCTTTGCTGCTTACAGCTAAAATATCAACTCACGTGATGCTACTGTGGCCCTCGCCACTGACAATGCTCCATGTCTCTGGTAAATCAAACAAAACCAAAAAACTTCGTGCAACAAAAGGTCCCTCTGTACAGCAGGAGCTGCTCTAGGTCAAGTTCCCTCGATTACAGACCAGGACCCCAAGGCCAACAGAGCTGGGCAGCAGGGCCAAGGGCACCAGGTGCAGGGTATACTGAACTTGGCTCCATCGACAGAAGGGAGAGGGAGGGGCCCCGAGACAGAGGGAGCTGCCTGCCCGCCTGCCCACGGTTCAGCCAACCTTGTTGATGTCGATGGTCTCCAGGGCCAGCTGCCGGAGGCGCTCCCTGCGGTCTCGGTTGCTCTCCGAGGAGGAGGCTACGCCTCCACTCCCGGTCTTACCCCCGGGGCGATGCTGGAAGTCCATGGTGAGGGCGTTGGGACTTTACCACACTGGTAGAGAGACCTGCAGGGCCAAAGGGGGAGGCTGTGAGAATGCAGGGTGCAGCCTGGTGGATGGGTCAGCTGAAGACCCTCTTTTTCAGCGCCCTCTTCCCTGCATATCTTCTAGGAGACTGAGGGCCCACGGTGGCCCAAGGACACACAAACCAGGAATAAGGATGAACAAGGACAAGTGTGGTGTCTATGAATGCCTGTGGGGGAGGATTGGAAAGGAAGTCAATGCAGACGGAGAAGTGTAAAAGCTCAGAGACCCAAAATGGCAACAGGGAAGAGGCAGCCAAGTTCTCTCACCAAATCTCACCTCCTTCAGGAAGCCTTCCTGGACTGCCCAAGCACACGGTGTGCACTCCTCTAAATTCTTTCTGCTCATCTCCACTCACTTCTCCCAAGCTAAATTCTACTTCTGTGGCTCAGCTGTAAATTTGCTGAAAGCAAGGAAGATCTCTATCCATCCACCTACCTACCTACGTCTTCTGCCTAATGCACAAGAGAGATTCAAGACCTCTTTTTGGCCAAAGCAGGCTCTCCTGGGCCTAAATAGCCTGGTTCCATTCCCTTGTTCTTTCACTCAGCTCAGACCCAACCTCCAGGTACCTCCCTCCGGCCTCCGAACACTTTCCTCTTGACTTGGTCAATGTCAGCCCCGGGCCCCTGGCTTACACCCATAGTATCTTTTATCTGTAGAGATGAGCTCACAGGAACAGGGTCCAAGAGTGAATATGACCCCACAAAGATGTCCCCATTCTAATCCCTGAAACCCAAGAACATGGAACCATAAATGGCAAAAAAGGACCTTGCAGAGGCAGGCAAGTCAAGGCCCTGAGGTGGGGGTGACCCTGGGTTTCCAGGGGGCCCAGCATCCTCACAAGGTCCTCACGGGAGGGAGGCAAAGGGTGGGAGTCCCAGAGATGGGCGGACCCCGCGCTGCTGGTGGTGAGGATGGAGGAGGGGCCGCGGGCCAGGAAAAGGCATGAGCCGGGTCTCCCTGGGGTCCCCAGGGGAACACAACCCTCCATTTTATACTTAGAAAAATACTTAACGATTTATATACTTATTTTATTTTTATTTATTTATTTATTTATTTATTTATTTATTAAGGATTTTATTTATTTGAGAGAGAGAGAATGAGAGAGAGCGAGCACATGACAAGGGGGAGGGTCAGAGGGAGAAGCAGACTCCCTGCCAAGCAGGGAGTCCGATGCGGGACTCGATCCCGGGACTCCAGGATCATGACCTGAGCCGAAGGCAGTCGCTTAACCAACTGAGCCACCCAGGCGCCCTATCTACTTATTTTAAAGAAAAAGAGAGAAGGCATGGAGGAGCAGAGAGGGGTGGGGGAAAGAATCTCAAGCAGACTATGCACTGAGTGCAGAGCCTGATGCGGGGCTCGATCTCACAACGCTGAGAACACAACCTGACCCGAAATCAAGAGTCGAACAGTTAGCCAACTGAGCCCTCCAGGAGCCCCCCTTTTATACTTCTGACGTCAAGAACTGCACGGTAATAGACTTGCATCATTTCAACCACTGACTCTGGTGCTTGGCTACAGCGGGAAAGGAACACGTCAGGGGCAGGCCAGCTCTGCCGTGGACCTGCAGTGGGACTCGGAGTCACCCCTAACTCTGTACGAATCCAGACCTGTCCCTGGCTTGGTTCTTGTTCTTGACGAGCACATGAAGCCCTCGCACCTGGGAACCAGCAAAGCGACCTTCCAGATGGCTGCTGAATCAGGAACTTATACCCGTCAAGGCGTCGGACTTTTATTACACGAGTCCACCTGGAGCTGCCAACTTTTAAGTGTCGTGAGACAAAGCGTGAGAGACAAGCACTGTCTACCGTGGCAAGCACTCTGTGAAAAAGAATCTTTCACCCTGAAGAAAGGAGACCATGCTGCCAGGGCCGCCCCGGCCAGAAACACCAGGGCGTCACCTGTGCCATCTTCCGTGAGACCAGGGAACACTGCGCCCCAACAGCCCCGGGGGCCTGCAGCCGCAGTCTGCCCAGAGCTCCGTGGCGCCCGCTGCCAGACCTGGCCACAGGCTCCTCGGCGGAGGCCAAGCACTGCCTGCACCTGCTGGTGAAACACCTGACTTTCCCTGCCGGAGACTCAAGGTTTCTGGGCGGAGGAACAGAAACTCCCGTGGGGAGGGGGAGGGACGCTACCAGCCCGCTCGCCTCCACCAGCAGCACAGAAGCGCAGCAGGGATGGGGGCCTGGGAGATCTCTTTCCCACAGGTCCTGAGTGACTTACAGGCCTCCGTGGAGAGAGAACACTCACTTCTCAAGGCCGTTACAGGACGGCGTTCACCTGAACAACGAAAACTGGGTGCTTTTGGGGGTAGGCGTGTGCTCTGAGCAAGTCAGCAGCCAACCAACAGGTGGATGAGATCCTGCTGTCTTCTGCCTAATGCACAAGAGAGATTCAAGACCTCTTTTTGGCCAAAGCAGGCTCTCCTGGTCTGCCAGAAACCACGGTGGGATGCCACCTCACTCAGCTCAGGGCGGCTGTTCTCAAGAAGAAAACAAAGGCAGCGCGTGCTCCCCAGTTCGGCCAGGGCTCAGGGGGGACCTGCGTGCTCCCCTGGGAAGCAGGCGCTGACAGCTCCAGGGTCCAGGACAGAGACATACCCTCACTTCCTGTCACCTGTTGTACAGGTGACATCCCAGAACACCCCAATGACCCCAAGGGAGACAGAACTACAAGAGTAACTCAGAAGGCAACAATGTTAACAGGGCCAAGAGTTCCCACCAGTCTGGTGAGGAGCCCAGTTCCTTCTTAAACAGGAGAAGGCCTTCGAATGCTGGTGGCTGGCTGGGGAACAGGCACCAGAGGTGTCGCAAAAAGGGCCCACGGAGAGAGTGATGGGCTCAGGGAGACCAAACTCAAACGCTGACCTGGTCACCAAGGTAGAGGGAAACCAGTAAGCACTGGAGACCCAAGTTACTGGTTAACCCAAGTTACTGCCAGTTACTGGTAGCCCACTGCACACAGCATCCCTGTCCCCCCTAGGAGAGCTCATCCCCAGCAGATCATCATGGGCCCAGGGGCCCTTGACTGGCTGCTTGGGTAGGTTGTAGTTTCATTCTCAGAAGAACCGGAACGACGGGCCACTCCACTTATAGGGGCAGGGACAACGGGAGAGAGTCGGAAAGTCGGGGAGCGGAATGAAGGCCAGGCTGAAAAGAGGGAATGCCATCAAAACCTGCCCTTCCCCCACACCTTGCCCAGAAGGTCCAGCTGGAGGCCCACCGCCCAGCCCAGGGGCACAGCATGAGTGCCAGAGACGGTTCTCAGACACTGACAGCTGGGGTCCCCCACCCCCCAAAGAAAAGACCAGCGTCTCCCCAGGCTCGCTGGGCAGTGAGGTTCACTAGGTGAGAAGCGGGGAACTCACACACACACACACGAAGAATTCCACATAACCCCCCCCCCCCGGTGATATTAGTGTCGTCCTTAATTACTGGGGGGGTTACTACACCACCAAAGCAGAACAGCACACCAAACGTTCGTTATCAAGGCGAGTTACAACCAGAGCACAAAGAAAAAACCTTGGGAAAGTAAAGATAGGGCGATCCAAATAAAAAGCTGACTGTGAGAGCTTGGAGGTCCAAGTTAAATAAAAGGAGAAGAAAAAGTGGAAAAACCAAAGAAGAAAACCTAAATGAAATTTTGGAGCAAGAACAGCAAGAAGCGTGGGAAGTATCGTCCCCAAAGTCCAAGAGTGTTCCCCAAAAAAGGGAAATAACCCAGGGCTGAGAGAGTCTCCTCGTTCTGACAGAAGCACGCAAAACGCCTGTCAATAAAAACGATCAGGACCGTTTACCACGCCCAGAAAAAACTTTAGTTTCGAGCAAAGACAGAGAAAGACCAGGAGCGAAAGGTGGGGAAACCGGGAGGGAATGCGATTTCCCACGAGAGCACTGGAAACAAGCGGCGAGCAACCCCTTCCCAGTTTCCATGGCTTCGGGTCACTCGGGGTCCCCGACGACCGAGGACTCACACTCGCTCAGCCGGCCCAGGTCCTCGAAAGCCACCCGCGATGCACCCCGACAGGACCGGGAAAAGGAACACACGGCCGGACAGAACAGTCGCCCACTCCGGAGAGCAGGACACAAAGTTCTGGACAAGTGCCCGGCCGCCGCGCGAGCAACCCGCGCGGACCCGGGCAGGTCTGCGGCCCGAGCGGGTGGAGGGAGAGCGCGGGGAGGCCGTGGGAGAAATACGAAGCACAGGAGGGGGCGGCGGTGAGAGCTTCGAGGGGAAGATCACCACCGGGCCGACAAAACCGGGCTACCAGGACGAACGGAGACGCCGGTGCCGCGGGAGAGCAGAGCACAGGCGGGCGAACTCCGGCGGGGTCGCTAACGCCGGCGCGACCGCAGCGGGACAAGCCAGGGCCAGCCCCAAGGACACAGGGGAGGCGGCGGGGGCCGAAGCACGCGGGCGCCGGGCCTCACCCCCCCCCGGGGACCCCGCGCCCCGCCACCCCGACCCGGCCCCGCGGGCCGCCCGCCAGACCCCCGAGGCGGCGGGACTGCCTGGCCCGCCCGGAGCGCGGCCCGGCCCTCACCCCGCGCCCCCGCCACAGACGCCCGTGGCCCACGTCCGCTGCGGCCCCGGGAAGCCAGGGCCCCGGGGCCGCGGCCCTCACCCCGCGCTCCTCCTCACTCCGCGCCCGCCGCGGCCACGAATACGTTACGCGCACGCGCGTCGCGTGCTGGGGAAGCACTTCCGGGGGCAACGGGGGGGGGGGGCGGGAACGGCCTCCCTTGTGCGCATGCCCGCTCTGCCCAGCGAGGTGGACAGAAGCGCCGGAGGCGCGAGGAAACGGGGCGGGGCTGAGAATAAGGGCCGGTACTCGAAGTGCGCGTGCGCACCAGGCTCTCAACGCCTCGCTCGCGCGGGGTCGGTTCTCACCGGAGGCCCGGCTTCTGCTCGTCGGTAAAGGGCGCCACCGATCGTGAGGGTACGTCCCTCTGTTCTCACCCCGGATCCAGCTTATGGCATGATTATCTATAACGACCGTCTGCGGCGTCTACTATCGCGTGCGCCCCACGCAGGCCTCGCTAAGCGCCGAGGCTCCCGGACGATCCACAGGATGAGTGACTCGAGTGCGCGCAAGCGCAGTGGCTGCGGTAGCGCTTCCGGGACGGCGCTGTGGGACTTTTTTGGCGCGAGCGGGGACGGCGGCCGGGAGGGCGCGGTCAGCGCTCCGCGTTTTGGGTCCTGGCAGCGCCATGCGCTACAACGAGAAGGAGCTGCAGGCGCTGTCTCGGCAGCCGGCCGAGTTGGCGGCCGAGCTGGGCATGCGGGGCCCCAAGAAGGGGAGCGGTGAGCGGGCTGGGGCGCCGGGGCGGGCGGGCCGGACGGGCGGGGGTGGGCGGCCGCCGAGCCCGCGTGAGCCCGCCCTGTGCCCGCAGTGCTGAAGCGGCGGCTGGTAAAGTTGGTGGTCAACTTCCTCTTCTACTTCCGGACGGACGAGGCCGAGGTAGGCCGACGGGCCGGGGTCGGGGCCCGGGGGCCATGGCCCGGCGGGGGGCAGGGCCGGGGCGGGGGCGGGGCCGGGCTGGGGGCGGGGGCCCGGCCGAGGGCGGGGCCGGGCTGGGGGCGCGGGGCCGGGGCGGGGTCCGGGCGGGGGTCCGGGCTGGGGGCGGGGGCCCGGCCGAGGCCGGGGGCGGGCTGGGGGCGCGGGGCCGGGGCGGGGGCTGGGCGGGGGTCCGGAGCCCGGGGGGGGCGGGGCCGGGCTGGGGGCGGGGGCCCGGCCGAGGCCGGGGGCGGGCTGGGGGCGCGGGGCCGGGGCGGGGTCCGGGCGGGGGTCCGGGCTGGGGGCGGGGGCCCGGCCGAGGGCGGGGGCGGGCTGGGGGCGCGGGGCCGGGGCGGGGGCCGGGCGGGGGTCCGGAGCCCGGGGGGGGCGGGGCCGGGCTGGGGGCGGGGGCCCGGCCGAGGCCGGGGGCGGGCTGGGGGCGCGGGGCCGAGGCGGGGGGCCGGGCGGGGGTCTGGAGCCCGGCGGGGGGCAGGGCCGGGCGGGGGGCCGGAGCCCGGGGGGGCGGGGCCGGACTGGGGTCGGGGGCCCGGCCGAGGGCGGGGCCGGGCTGGGGGCGCGGGGCCGAGGCGGGGGCCGGGGTCCCCGCGGAGGCCCGCCCTCACCGGCCCCCTCGCGTCTCTCTGCCCGCAGCCCGTCGGAGCCTTGCTGCTGGAGCGCTGCAGAGTCACCCAGGAGGAGCCCAGCGGCTTCTCCATCAGTGAGTGCCGGCCCCGGGCCTGCCCCCCCCCCCCCCCCCCCCCCCCCGCCCCGGGCCCGGTCGCCGCGTCTGTCTGCGCGGAGGCAAAGTCCACTGCCCCGGGCGGCCGGAGGGCGGGCCGGGCTCTTCCCCCGGGGCGTAACCACTTGCTGGCTGCAGCCGCAGGTGCTCTAGGACTTTCTGTCTTGTTGGGGAGCGCTGCACTGTTCGGGTGCCCGGCCGGGTTCTGGGCGCCGGGGAGGGTCCTCCGGGTCGTCTCGAGAGCGTCGAGTCAGCAGAGGAAGGCGGAGTTCGTGCTGGTTTTCTGGTGTGGCGCTCAAACGAGAGAAATGTGTGTTCCCCGAGTCCAGGAGGGCAGAAGTCCGACAACAGGGTGTCTGCAGGGGTGGTTCCTTGCCGGGGAAACTTTACCAGGCGATCCTGGCCCCCCCGGGGTCGCCAGCAGCCCGAGGTGCCCGTTGCCTTTGTAGAGTCAATCCTGTAGTCTCCCATGGGCGTGTGGCTCATCCTCTGCGTGTTTGTCTTCAAATTTCCCCTTTTTACAAGGACACTAATGGGATTAGGTTTGGTACCCAACTCTTTTCAGGTTGATCGGTTAAGTAATTGCACTTGTAACCGTCCTGACTCCAAATAGGGTCGTATTATTAGGTTCTAGGGATTAGGACTTGAACATTCTGTTCTGAGGACACAATTCAGTCCACAGCACAATTGGTGGGAAGCCATGAGTCTGGGCTGGGACTGGAGGAGGGGACACTTTAGGATGGAGGCAAGAGGAAGCTGAGGCCTGTGGCGGGCTGGGGGGACGGGCAGTGGGCGGGAACAGACGGGGGCTGCTCCCTCTGCAGGCTTCATGGAGGACCCGGAGAGGAAGTACCACTTCGAGTGCTGCAGTGAGGAGCAGTGTCAGGAGTGGATGGGGGCTCTGCGGCGAGCCAGGTGGGGTGTGGGCCTGCCTGGGGGGGGGTCTGGGGCACAGCAGGGCTCTGTGAGCCTACGCCACTTTCTCCCCCAGCTACGAGTTCATGCGGAGGAGCCTCATATTCTACAGGAATGAGATCCAGAAGATGACTGGCAAGGTACACAGAGGGTCCAGGGGAGCCGGGGGTGGGGGCAGGGGCGTGGGCCCCTGGGGCCTGGGCTCATGCTGCCCGTTCACCCACACAGGACCCCCTGGAGCAGTTCGGCATATCTGAGGAGGCCAGGTTCCAGCTGGGTGGCTTGAAGGCCTGAGTCTGGAACAACCCCCCGCCCCATCCTCTCCAGGCCCTGGGTTTCCTGGTCAAGCCTGGATTTGCTGCAGATGTTTGGCTTAAAGACTTCAAAAACCCAAGATCGGTGGGGGTGGGCAGGGGCAGGTTGGAGAAACAACCCACTGACCCCCCCCCCCCCCCGGCCCCCAGACTGGTCTGCACCTATTGGTGCCCCATGCTGCTACCGGGGGACAAACGTCCACTCCTAGAAGTTGCGTCCAGCCCCTCGGGCACATCCGTCTGGGGTCTGGAGGCTCCTGAGGCTGGTGTAGCTCTCCTGGCCTGTGCAGGCTGAATGTACAAAGCTAAACGATGCTGTGAAGACGGGCGTGGTGGCCACGCCTGCTGGAGCCACTGTGAATTCTACTCCTGCTGATGGGGCAGGCCCTGGCCGGACGCCTCTGGGTGGAGCTGGAAGTCTTCACTCTCAGGCCAGCGTGCTTGTTGTATTCAAATAAAGGGACCTCTTTTCCACGTGGGATGGTGCTGCCGTGAATGCAGGAAGGGGCTGCTGGCCCCAGGTGGTTGGAGCTGGCTCCCGAGGCAGGGCAGTGAGGCCTCTGTGGGACGGCAGTCCTCCCCAGCTTGGAGGTTTAAGTGCCCAGGAGCAAGGGCCAGGTTGCCCCAGGAGAGGGACAGAGACCTAGAACCAGACCAGGGAGAGGCAGGGAGGCTGGGACTTTGCCAGGCCCCAAGGGACAATGGAAGGGTGGTGTGATTGAACCTGAAGGTGACCTGTGATCCCAGTTCCTAGGCCTTCCCTTGAGTACAGGCAGGACCTCGGAAAGGGTTTTTGCCAGTGTTAGAATCCTAAGTCAATCCCTTTTAATAAAAAAGGGAGGCATCCTGGGTGGGCCTGGCCTAATCAGCTGTAAGCACGGGAGGGACTGGGCCTCCCTGAGGAGGGTGCTTGCTGTCTGCCGTGGTCACGGGGCTGCCTTAAGGAGCCTACCAGGCTTCTGCCGGGAGCACCGTCCTCCCCACTGGGGGAATGGTGAGCGTGACCCCTGGCCCTCACACCTCTCCCTTCCTTGCTGCATCATCGTCAGAAAGAAATGCTGCCGCCAGATGAGGTTCAAGTGAAAAGTATTTTATTACAGCGCCTAGAGGTGGAAATGCAGAGTGCACTGGGGTTCTCTTAGGAAAAGAGGGTCAAGCCAGCAGCCCAGGGAGGGACAGGCCATGCCAGCACCCCCAACTGAAACACAGTCTACCAGAAACACAAAGCAAAGCCCCGTCTGAGTTACAAACCAAGGTCGAGAGACGTGGGAAACAAACCAGTGTGGCTGGACCGTGGGAGTGAGGGCGGGCGGGGCGGGTAAAGAGGGGCACGTGAGCCTTAGGTAAATCACAGTCCGTAGCTGCAAGAGACGGCGAGCTGCCCGGGAGGGCCGTGTTCACGGTTAGGTTTTCCTGAGCAGAGCCCCCTGCGGCCCACCAGACTTCCCTGAAGTTGCCCGCGGTCGGCGGTAGCCCCGGGGCTCTGTGCACGGGCCTGCTGCCTCCCCTCCTGCTAGGGTCAGCCCAGCCACCGCGGGGTGATCCCAAACACGCCCCCGCTCGTGCCGGAGACTCAGTGTGGCACGTCCGCGGGGAGCCCCACGTCAGTGACCGTGCGGGCCCCCTGAAGTGATGCAGTATGTGCGAACAGGGTCGCTCTGTTCTACGCTGGGGACTCAGGCGTGACCTCTCCGCTGTCCACCCACCCTGTAGCTTTTTAGGGAGCCCTGTGCCCCTGACACGGGTGGGCGTGTGTGTGTGTGTGGCCAAGCAAACACTGCCCTGTCCTGGGGGCCAGGGCTTGGGGTTCATGGGGGTGAGGCACAGCACCTTCATGCACCGGGGGCGCCAACCCAGAGGGAGGGAGCCAGGGCAGCCAGTTACAGAAGGATGGGCCAATTTCAAGAACCCATCGCGAGCACCATCTTCTGCCTCAACTATTGCTCTGGGCCAGGGGCGTCGCCCCCAGGGCAAGCAGGAAAGCAGGGCTCTGGCAGGCCCCTGCCTGTGGAAACCAGGGGTCCAGCCAACTTCCAGAACAGCCAACGGCCAGACCCAGCCTGCACAGATTGGTCTGCCTCCAGGCGGCGGCTGCAGGCAGAAAAGGGTCCTGCGGTGGCTGTCTTTGGCCTGCATGCCTCAGGCCTCTGCCTGCCCACCAGAAGAGCGGGGGCCAGGCCGAGCCTCCCGGGCAGGCAGGAGCTCAGGGCCTCTACTTGAGCAACGGGCTAAACACAGCCCACCTTTGGAAAGAGGCAAGTTCCCTGTGTTCCTTGGGGGATGCAAGCACCTGAGGACAGGGCTCTGACCTCACCGACTCAGCCCTTCCTAGAGCACCCATCTCGGGGTCCAGATCCCTCTGCCAGGACCTGGGCTGATGTTGGCCCTTTCGGGGGGGGCTGGGGGCTTCTGGACGCACCCTCTGAAAACCACATACATACACAACACTGGCCGACTGCTACCCTGGAGGAGCTGGAGAGCCCTACTGGCAACCTCTAGACGCCTCCGAACAGCTCCCCCAGCTTTGCCCTGCCCCCGCCCCCCCTCCCCCCCCCGTGCGTTCACTGCCAAGCACCATCAGAGCTGCTCCAGGGTGGGGGCGGCACGGCCTCAGCGACCGCACGGACTGGCCAGAGGGGCTTGGGCAGGGCGCAGGGCCTGTCCACTCCACCCCGGGAGCCGCGGTCACGCGGTCCGGGGCCGAGGGCCGGCCCTGGGCCCACGCCACTGTGTGCACTTGAATAAATAGAAAGGTTCTCCCCTCACTTTTCTTCTTTAGTTTACTATGCATTATACAATCTAAAAATAAATGAAGTCAAGTCTATGAAATTTATAAATTTTCATCGCATCTCTATAAAATACTGTCACTCCTCAGCGTGACTCTCCTCTGTACAGACACACCAAGCACCCGTGACTAACCTGCCCCACGTCACCGGCCCACGTGCCGCGAGCTTACTGCGCGCTTTGGTGGACCGCAGCGGGAGCCCCGGACGAGCAGGGACGTACGACAGTAAATGCACTTGCACCAGCCCGCCACGCCGTCGGGAATCGGGTACCAGACCTTCCCCAAGCACCACTCGGAACGGGTCCGCGCAGGATCGGGGAGGGTCTGACCGCCCTACGCCCGCCGACCGTTCCTATGCCAAAGGCGCTGATCCCAGGCCAAAGGGCCAACAGTCCGGTAGGAGCCGTTCACAGTGATGGGGCGGGGGCGGGCGCCCCCTTGGGGAGAGGGCCTCTTCCGAGGAATGTCACGACAGCGCGAGCCACCCTCCACCTGGAGACAGCCATGCCTTTGGTATAGGAAGAGCGGCGAGAATAAATAGGGCAGGCGCCTCACGGCCTGGTTTTGGCGTTGGTCAACCTCCAGTCAGCACCAAGAGGACGAGGTGGCGGCGAGGCCTGCGTCGAGATAGCACCGGGACCGCGGTCAGCGCGTCCGCGGGCAGGCCAGTCCTTCGGGTGGACGTCTGTATATAGATCCTCTCATATATAGTATTTACACTTCTCGATAGGTTGCCTTTACGACTTCGGTGGAGTAAAATAAGTCAGGATTGTTTATACTTTTTAAAAAACGATAAATACTTTATCTAAAACTATCGACAGTACGAGCCGGAGCCAGGCCCCAGCGCCTCCTGCAGGTCTGCACAGCACGGATTCACAGTAGAGCCTCGTCCCCCGTCCTCAGTCCGTCCTTGCCGTCCCGTGGCCGGCCGCCGGCCCAGCCCGTCCTTGCATAGGTCTCACGGTTGAGGTAGAAATCCTAATTACCTGCAGAGACGCGCGTGGGAGAAAAGGCAGCACAGATTCAGCGTCTTTCTTGGGGGGGCCCAAACATTCCCCCAGGCCAGGGAACCAAAGCCTCCTACAGGCGGACGGACGGTCGGACAGACAGAACAGGGTTGCTGCAGGCCCCGCCTCTCCTGGCAGGGACCCCCGGCGCCGTGCCCCTGGTCTGCTCGGAGGCAGCAGGTCCCCGTCCTCCCCTCCCCCCCAGGAGCCTTGGCACCAAGGCCCCCCGGCCGCAGGCCAGGCCCTGCTCGCAGGCCAGCCCAGGGAGACCGCCCGTGACGGCCACGGGGCAGAGGAACAGAAGGCGGTGGTCCCCTGTGGGCCAGGACCAGGAGCCTGATGCCCAGATGCTTCCGCACGCACACCTCGGACCTCTTCAAAGCCGGTCCCGGCCGCACGCCTTCTCTGATGGCGTGAAGCCCCCGCGCACGCGCACGCGACCTGCTCTACCTTCTGGGCTTTTCCAACAGGACTGTGGCACAGCCCGTCCCCAGACGTGCACCCTGACCGGGAGGCCGTTAGACTGCGGCGGCCCCACGCCTGTTTCCACTTAAACACGCGGCAGACAGTGGAGGATGGGCCGGCCCAGCGCCCCGTTAGCAGCCGGCTTCCTTTCCTCGAGCCCTCGGCCCCGCGGACGCCAAGCCGCACCAGCAGCGGCCGGGCCGGCTGTACCAGGGCCCAGCTCCCTAACGCTGACACGCGGCCCGCGGGGGCCTCACGACGACCCTCCTCACCCGCTTCCGAAGACGGGCCTTTCCTACACGGCCCTGCACGCCTCCACGCTGACCGCCCCGAGGCACGGGCCGCGTTCCCGGGAGCGGCAGGAGGCATGCTGTGTGGGCACCAAGGCAAAGCACTGCCCCCCCGCCAGGCAGCCGTTCCTCTGTGGCCGGCGCCACGCTGCCCTGGGCCTGCAGGCAGGGGCCTCTGGCTCAGGAGCCCGAGGCACGAGCACCAAGTTTGGACGACCCTCTACGTGTCGCCTTTTCTTAAAGCCCTAAGGGTGCGTTCAGGGAGACAGGCTGCAGGAGGCCCTAGAGCAGACAGACGGCAAGGCTGAGCCCTGAGCTGCCCCGGGGGCCCCGGTCCCTGGCCGCTGCAGACACACAGCCTGAGGGTGACAATGGCGGGCTCCATCCAGCTAGACGGGCCGGGCCGGGCTGCCGGCCTCAGCCACCTCCTCCCGGCCCCCTCCGCTGGGCAGGGGCCCATGGGGGCTTGCCGTAAAGGGCTGGGCCGGGCGAGAGCGGGCCACCCCCTGGAGCTCCGCGGTGGCTGCTCAGCCGCCCCGGAGGCCGGAACACACGGCCAGCCCTGCCTAGCCGCCCGCTTTCCCTCGCCTCACTGTGCTCTATCTTCCCTTGCACACAACTCTCAGGACCAACCGTCTCCACCCGAGGCAGAATAGCCTGGGTCCCCTGGGCCCCTCCTCGGAGCCCTGCGGGCCCGTCCACTCTCTGTGGAAGGAAGGACAGACAGTTCAGGGTCTCGTATGGGCCCCCTGGTTAGGCTCTAGCCTTACCTTACAGAATACGAACTGCTAGCTAAGCAAGGTCTTTATCTCGGCTTAACCCCCGCAAGGCGCGCGGCATACGGAGGCGGCATGCCAAGGGAAACCCACACGGCAGACGGCCCCGTGGAGCTGGCCTGCGGGATCACGGGCGCGGCCTGGGCCAGGGCCAGCCCGGGCAGGGGCTGGTGGTGCACCGTGAAGGAGGGGCGGGGGGCCTTGTGCGGGAGGGAGGCGAGCTTGATGGACAGAGAGGCGTTAGCAGGCTGCAGAGAGGCGGCAGAGGAGGTGGGCAAGAAAGCCTGGTTAGCCGGGAGGGACGCGAGGTTCTGCAGAAGCATGGGCTCAGAGTTAGCTGGGAGCAGCGCGGGGGCAGGAGGCAAGGCGGCGTTAGGGGGAGGGGGTGCGGGGAGGGCGGGCTGCCCCGGTGGGGGCGGGGGCGGGGCCTGAAAGGAAGACGCGGGGGCGCCGGCCACCGCCTGCAGCGGGCTTAGGCTCAGCGTGGCGCTGCGACACGCAGCCCCGCGGCCGAAACTGGCTCCAAACGGATGGGCGGAGGCGGAAGGCACCGCGTGGTTAAAGACACCTGCAAACAGGAGAGAAAAACTCAGCTTCAACAGGTGGGCACTCGCCAGGCAAGCGCAGAGAGACACAACAACAGGGAAGCAGACAGCGGCCACAGGTCCGCGTGCGGCGCGGGCGCGGGGGCGAAGCAGCAAGCAGCGGGCACGGGCGGCCGGGTGCGACTTACCTGCAGGGCAGCGCCGGGCCGCACCCCCTGCGGGCACGCCCACCCGGGCTCCCAGCCGCGAGACAGGGCCTCGCCTGCCTGTGCCCAGCAAGGAGCTGGCTGCGGACTCCTGGGGCCCCAAGGCGGGCCCGGCCCAGCCCGGCCACGTGGCTCCTCTCCACCCCTACACGGTGCCACCACACAGCATGCGCTGTGGCCCTCGCTCTTGCCCAGCACCAGCCCCCGAGGCTGCCCAGAACCCATGGGCTGTGTCGGGTCGGACAGAAGACCTCCACGGGGAGGAGACAGAGCCCTAGTCGTGGCGCCAGCCCTCCTGAAGGTACAAGGGACGCCGTCACAACCAGAGGGCCTGACGCAGGCCGACTCACGCGTGAGCGCTCTGCCCACACCACGGGCACATCTGCATCTCACGGAAAGGAACGAGGTGGCAGGTGCAAAGTGGACCCCAAGGGACAGGTGGGCACAGCCTCTCGCCCCTTAGGGGGCCCTGCAAGGGAACCTGTAAAGCAGTCGTCGTTAGCCCAGCGGTCCGGGAGGGCGACGGCGTGCGGCCCGCAGGACCCGACACTCAGGCGGGAGAGACGCGCGTCTGCCTACCTCCAACTGCGCCGCCTGCCACCCCGGAGGAAAAGCTGCCCATGGCGTGCGAGTTGGTCAGTCTGGTTGCAGCGGACGAGACGTGCACCAGGCCGGCGGCGGCCGGCACGGAGCTGAACAAGGACTGGAGCACGGACGAGCCCAGGTTGGCCTGCAGGGACATGGGACCCAGGGCGAACTGTGGGCCGGGGGCAAAGGTGCCCAGGAAGGGGCGGTGTGTCTGGGCGGAGGGGGCCGCGCTGACTGCCGAGGACGCCGCCGTGGCGAGGCCCGGGCCGCTGAGGAGGCCCCCGGGAGGCACAGTGGCGGCAGAAATGAAGAGGTTGTGGCCGTTCTTCAAGTCGGGCTCGCGGTCCCGGCCCTTGCCCGGCTTGCTGTGCACCAGCAAGGGCTTGTCCGGGGGCCCGCACGCCGGCAGGCCCAGCTCGCCGGCCTCCCTGCCCTTGGGGCCAGCCAGTCCTTCCAGCTGCCTCTTGTTCACAAAGGCGCCGGACTCTGCGGCACTGCCCTCCTTGCCCCGCGGGGCAGGGAAGCTCAGGGGGGTGCCCAGGCTGGCCGCCTCGGGGACCTTGTGGGAGAGAGAAGCACCATCGCTGAAGCTGTGTAAACTGAGGTCGGCGGCCAGGCCCCCGCTGAAGGTGAAGCCATTGGGAGGGTTGCTGCTGGGGCTCAGCCCACCAGCCCCCGACAGGGCACTGGAAAAGCTTTTCCTGGGGTGGGCAGCCAGCTTGGCTTCAGCCAAGCCGGGCTCCTCTAGGGGGGGCCGGAAAGCGAACAGGGAGTTCTGGCTCAGGGCGGAGCCGGCCTGCAGCGGGCTGTCGGCGCACTTGGCCAGGCCGAGGTCGGAAATGGGTGAGAAGGTGGATTTCCACTTGCTGCTGTTGGTGGGCTCGCTGGCAGGGGTCGGCTTCCTCCCGGCCAGGCCACCACCTGATGAGGAGAGGCAGAGCCGGTGAGGCCCGGGGGCTCAGAGTCACCCCGTTCCGCCCAAGGGAAGCGTGCTATGGTAGAGCGAGGGTGGGACGGGACGGGAGCTGGAGACTGGAGCGTCTGCGGGGGGTGGGGGGTGGGGGGTGGGTCAGGCACGCAGAGTGTGTCAGATGCTGGCCCGGTTCGACGGTACCGAGACCAGCCATCGTGGGGACACAGGTGGCATTCAGCATCACCCAGAGACAGTTCTAGAAGCCTGGCACGGCTGGTCCTGAGTGTCAAGGCCACACCCTGGGGCCTGGGAGTTACAGGGCAGGGTGCACAGCTACTCACCGCTTTCCAAGGTTTTTGGAGGAGATTTGCTTTCTAAGGAGATTGTTGCAATTTTTCTCTCGATTCTATCAAGAAAAAAATACATGACAGATGTTTGAAATCCATTTGCACATGGACTGCCCAGGGAGGTGGGGAAGCAGGCCGACACACAGCCTGCCCGCCTGCAGACCTCTCTAGAGCCCGAGCCCAGCAGCAGGCGACAGGGCCGAGAGCTCGGGAACAGGGGTGTCACATCCCAACACAGAGACACCCCCGAGTCCCAGATGGGGCCGCCTCTGTTTCACCTTGCCTCCTGGGCTCTTTGTCAAACCCCCGAGACCTGCTGTAGCTACAGGCACCGCGTCGGCGACAGCGGGTGACCTACGTGACCCGCAGCGTGCGGCACACGACGGCGAGTCGGTACTCGCGGCCCCGCCAGACCGCAGACCACACACACTCCACTGCCCGCACTTCCACGGCACATCCTAGAGAACACCGCGACCTCCACAAGCGTAAGGAAACTGCCCAAGAGAATTTGGGAACCGTGAAGTTGGACATTCCCAACACAAAAGAAAAGCACTCAAGCGCAAAACTTTCAAAAACGTAATTTACGTAAGCAGAAGAGGAACAGGATGAACGAACCTAGACAAGACACCAAAAGCGCAGGCAACGAAAGAGAACAAAAACAGAACTGGACCCAAATTTAACACTTTTGTCTTTCAAAGACACCTGCAAGAACGTGAGAAGAAAAATCAGAGAATGGAAGAGAACGTTCGCGGGTCAGATATCAGATAAAGGACCCCTGCCTAGAACATACGAAGGACTCTTAGAACTCGACAAAAACAAAGGACCCGAGCACACATCTCTCCCCAGACACTCCAACGGCCGTCAGCGCACGAGAAGACACTCCACACCACTGGTCAGAGCGGCGGAGCCCACAGCTACAGCGAGACCCCACCTCACGCCCACGGGAACGGCTATCACGATAAAAAACAAAACCAGACCAGAGCAGGTGTCCGCGAGAATGGGGAAAACCCGGCTCCCTCACCACGCCGACGGGGGGTGGGGGGCACGCGAGGTGGGGGGCACGCGGTGGGGGGGTCGAGGTGGGGCCACGAGGTGGGGGGACACACGAGGTGGAGGTGCACGAGGTGGGGGGAGCGAGGTGGGGGGGGCGCCAGGTGGGGGGACACGCGAGGTGGGGGGCACGCGGTGGGGGGGTCGAGGTGGGGCCACGAGGTGGGGGGACACACGAGGTGGAGGTGCACAAGGTGGGGGGAGTGAGGTGGGGGGAGCGAGGTGTGGGGGTACGAGGTGGGGGGACACGAAAGGTGGAGGTGCGCGAGGTGGGGGGAGCGAGGTGGGGGGCGCCAGGTGGGGGGGCACGCGAGGTGGGGGGGCACGTGAGGTGGGGGACACGTGGTGGGGGAGGTCGAGGTGGGGGCACGAGGTGCGGGGACACACGAGGTGGAGGTGCGCGAGGTGGGGGAGTGAGGTGGGAGGAGTGAGGTGGGGGGACGCGAGGTGGAGGTGCGCAAGATGGGGGGAGCAAGGTGGGAGGAGCGAGGTGGGGGGACACATGAGGTGGAGGTGCGTGAGGTGGGGGGAGCAAGGTGGGGGGCACGAGGTGGGGGCACGCGGTGGTGGGGGCACTGTGGAAGACCATTCGGGGATTCCTCAAAACACTGAACACAGAGTCACCGTCTGACCCTCCAGTTCCACTCCTGGGTAGATTGAAAATATTTTTCTTTTTTTAAAGATTTATTCATTTATTTGAGAGACAGCGAGCAAGAGAGCGAGAGTACGTGCACAGGCGCGTGCACGTGGCCGCATGAGCAGGGGGAGGGACAGACGGAGGAGAGAGAGAATCCTCCAGCAGACTCCATGCTGGGCGTGGAGCCCCATGCGGGGCTCCACCTTACGACCCTGAAATCACGACCTGAGCCGAAATGAAGAGTCGGACACTTAACCGACTGAGCCCCCCAGGCGCCACAGTTGAAAACATTTTCAAGCAAAAGGAGGTATACGAAAGTTCACAGCAGCGTTATCCCCATTAGCTCAACACCAGACACACCAAGTGTCCATCAGCATGTAACGAATGAACATAATGTGTGCGGTCCGTCCCCACGCGGGAACACGCTCCAGCCTCAGGAAGGAAGGGACCCTGACACCTGCCACGGCACAGAGGGACCCCCAGGACACTGGGCTCAGCGAGAGGAGCCAGACCCCGAAGGACACATCCCGCAGGACCCCACTCCCAGGACGTCCCCAGAGGAGTCCCGTCCACACAGACAGAGAGGAGAGGATGGGAGCCGGGGCTGTGGAGTCTGTGTTAAGGGACACAGGCTTTTTTCTGGGGTGATAAAATTGATACTGGTGAGGGCGCCTGGGTGGCTCAGTTGGTTAAGCGACTGCCTTTGGCTCAGGTCATGATCCTGGAGTCCCGGGATCGAGTCCCACATTGGGCTCCCTGCTCGGCGGGGGGTCTGCTTCTCCCTCTGCCCTCTTCCTTCTCGTGCTCTCTGTCTCTCATTCTCTCTCAAATAAATAAATAAAATCTTTAAAAAAAAAATTGATACTGGTGATGTTTGCACAACTCTATAAATATACCAAAACCCACTAGATTGCACTCTCCAGACAGGAGATGCGCCACAGGAATTAGATCTAATAAAGCTGTTCCGTATCACGAAAGAATACCGTTCGTGATCAAACACACCAGATGTGCAGAGTCGACAAGAACTGGGAACTCTGCTCTCTCGGGCCCGTGCCTGCTGTGGCCGCCTGCGTGCCCTTCGTCTGCTCTAACCAGGTGACATACACACCAGGAGCGAGACCGGACACAGCAACGCCACGTCCCGGGGGCTCTAGGCCCAGAGGGCTGGCCCTGCCCTGCATGTGACGTCTCGAGGCGAAAGACCGCCCAGGCCCTTCCCGAGGAGCTCCTCACCAAGTCAAGGTTAAGAGTCTCGGGAAACTACCCACTCGAGCACAGCCACTGTGTGGGACTGCGGACAGCAGCTGGGGGGCCCCAAGGGGGAAGCGGTGACCGTGGCGGTCAGGGCCCCTGCACCCACCAACCAACGGTAGCTGGACACTGCCCGTCCTTCGCCCAGGCCCTGCCCTGGGAGGGTGACCTCATCACGAGCACCTCTCCTCCCAGAAGCCCCGCCCGTGGATGCCCCGGCCCCACTCGCCTGGCGCTGCCTGGCTCGTCCTCGGAGCCCTGCTCCTCGTCTGAGGTCAGTGGGGAGTAGTGGGCCCCGTTGGTCTGGCTCAACGGCTTCTCCTTCTTGAGGATGGGCGGCTGGTCGTTGTCCTGGTAAGGGACAGGGGAGCTCTTCAGGCTCTCGGGGGACGAGATGGCCGTGATTTCCAAAGGCTGATTAATGTTGCTGACCTGAGGGACCAGCACAGACACAGCACAAGCCTGTCAACGGGCTCCCCGAGCACCGACACCCCAGGGCTTCGCTTGGGTCCCTCCCACCCAGACCCGCCCTGGATCTCAGGCCGCTGGGGAACGGCAAAGCCGGCCTGCTGCCCTCAGAGGGAGGTGGACCGTGGCGCCGCCTCCTGCCTGTGCTCCTCGTGCCCCGCCATCTTGGCCAGGCTGGGAACGCGAGATGCCACGCGCAGGCACCTGAGTGGGCCAGCGGGGCCAGCATGCCCTCCCCACTGCGGCCCTGGCCTTACCATGGAGCTGAGGTTCAGCGGGGACCCTGAAGACTGCGTGAAAAGGCCGGCAACGGACGGCAGGGCCCGACGCTTGGGCGACACGCCGGAGCTCAAGCCGGGGGTCCCAGCCGCCGCCCGCTTCCTCCTGCCCCGCTTGCGGCCGTCCGGCCCGTGGCCCTGGCCACTGTCCCCGCGGGCGCCCGTGGGCAGAGGGCTGGGTTTGCCGGGAGGCGACTGCTTGGCAATGCCGCCAGCCGAGATGGTGAAGACGACCCTCCTCTTGGCTTCGCCCTCGGGATCTGAGAAGCCGGCCTCGGAGGGAAGGTCCCCTTTGCTGGCCTCGGGGAGCGGGCCCTGGGCGGCACTGCTGAGCCGGGGGCTGGCGCAGAGCGGATGGGCAGGCGAGGCTGCACCAGAGCCGCGGGACTGCGGCAGCAGGGGCGGGTGCTGCGGGGTGGAGCAGGGCCCCATGCCGGCGAACAGGCTTCCCGAGCCCGAGACCTCATCGAAGGCGCCGGGCTCGGCTCCGGGAGCGAGGGGGGCCGGGCTGCCTGCCAGGGCCCCGCTGACAGCCACTGAGCCCGCGTAGAAGCCTGCCAGGAAGGACGGGGTTTCTCAGGGGAGGACGCCACTGCCTGGGGTGCAGATGGTGAGGAAGCTCCACGCCTGGGAACCCGCCCTCCATGTGCTTCCGTCGAGTACCGGACACGGCTGTGCCAGCCCCGGGGGCTCCCGGGCGGCCAGGCAGACACGTGGCTCCGTCCCGCTTCTGGGTGTAAGATGACTGCGGGTGCTGGAACCCGACAACCCCCCCAGGTGGACCTGGCCAAGCCCCCTCCGCCCACGGAGGCTCACTAAGGTCCGTGGCCTCCTCACGCGCCTGCCATCAAGCCCTCCCCGCCCCAGAGGAAATGGTGTACCAGACACCAGACGCAGGACCTGCCCTCCCTGGGTCAACACAGGGGTCGGCACACTAACGACTAGCCCCTGGGCCTGGCAGTCTGGCCAACGGCCGGTGTAAGGACTTTCACCGGCACACGCCGCCCGCCCACACACCGTCACTGGCACCCCCACGCCACGGGGCTGAACAGCTGGGACAGAGACCCGATGCCAGCGAGCGGCCATGTGCCTCCTAGCCCTGTACAGAAAGTCTGCGGGGGCCTCTGCCAGCAACCATCAGAAGTCTCTGACGGAGAGTCAGAACCCAGCTAGAAACCAGGCAGCTCCACAAGGACGCCACCAACCGGGTGGGGCACAGCGCCCGGGCTGAACGTCGGGAGGAAACGGCCAAAGGCTCCTGGATGTGCCAAGGCCCAGCCTAGAGCCCCTAACCCCCAGGGCTCGTTGTGCTGCATGCCGATGGCCCTGATGCAGCTCAGACCCTGCGGCCGGGAGGAGGGAAGCCAGCTCAGAGCCTGGCCTGGCGGACCTGGGGCCTCCTCCTCCGTCCAGCAGCCTTAGCAGAGGCTGCGGAGGGCTGGGGTCTGGGGGAAGGGCCAGGGGCAGGGACCCAGGAGGAAGAGGAGCACTCTGACCTGCAGGAGCAGGGGTGAGGCCTTTGCTTGCAGCGCCGTGGGCATTAGCGCCCATCTGCTTTTCAAGTGTGGACGAGGACTCTCGGGTCTGCGGCACAGGACTGGGGGTGCTCCTCTGTGGAGAAAAAGTACACGCTGTCAGCTGAGCCAGGACTGGAGAGAGTCCCGGACATAAGCCACAGGATGTGCAAAGGGCCTGGGGCAGGGAGAACGGCAGGCATGTGAGAGCCGGCGCACAGAAGGGGAAATGACTTGCTCAGGGTTTGAGCACTGTGGGTAGCCCTCAGAAGGTTCTGACAAGGTGAGGGGCAGATGTCTAACTCGAGTCCCAAAGGACTGTTCTGGCTACGGCAAACGTCAGGCTGGGGACGAAGGGAGCAGGGACGGCTGCAAGGGGCTGCAGCTATGATCCAAATAGTGATTCCACTCCTGCATGGAATGGGGTGAAGATACCCACCCCCACAAAACCTGCTCATGCGCACTCACAGCAGCGTGATTCCTAACGGCCAAAAGTGGCAACAACAAATGTCCACCCTCGGATGAACAGACAAACACGACGTGGTCTGTCCACGCACGTGTCACTCAGCCGGGGACGGACCCCGAGCCCACGACGCTCAGGGAGGGAACCAGACACAGGAGGCCCCACGGGGTGTGCGTGCACGTGGACTCGCAGAGGCAGCTGCACAACTCCGAATGTACTAAACGCCACTACGCCAGACCGTGCATGCAGCCGGGGGACTGGATGCGAATCGCCTCTCAACCAGAGCAAAGCCGAGCCCGCGTCACGCGAGACGCGCCATGTTCACGGGACGAAGGGAGACGGGCTTCGTGCTTCCACCGAATCCGACTTCGACTCCCACCCCACCCGCACGTACCACCTTCCACAAAAACAGGCCTGAGATCAGAATGGGAAAATCGCACTGTAACAAACTCCGCGCTTCAGGGTTGTGTGCGTCTTGGGGCGCTGCGGTACGCTCCAGACTGACCAGCATGCAAACTAACAAAAAGGGACTAGGTCCTGCAGGGGAAAAACAAGACGACACCCCTCCCTGCCTACCACGCGCCGCAGGCACGCCACACTGCTGGAGCCCGAGGGCCCGGGCCGGTCACACCAGGTGGCCGGCGCCCTCCCCGGCCGGCGCCCACTCACCACTTTCTCGGCGCGGCTGGGCAGCACCACGCTGGCCAGAGGGATGCTGACGGGCAGCTTGCTCGGCTGCACGGTGCTGAGCGGGATGCTGACGGGCAGGCTGGTGATGGCCTCCCCACTGCTGGCATAGCTGCGCTCCTTCACTCCCTGCACACACACACCAGAGCGGCCTCGCTCCTGCCGGCCGGCAACGCCAAACCCCCAGCACCACCCGAAGGCCACGGGGACCCTCCCAGCACAGGAGGCCGTCCCTCGCCTGTGACGCCCACCCATCTCCGCCACGCTCCGCCTCCTGAAGTTCCAGGGCGCCCACACCCGTTACTTGCCCCCGGGCTCTCTCCTTCCCGTTCCTACGGGCAACGGCCCCTCACAGGGGCTCTTCTGCAGCACCACATCCCAGGCCTGGCTCAGGACACCCGCCGCGCACCCCCCACAGCCTGGGCCCTGCTCGCACCTTCTCGCCGCCCCTCTCCCCTGTCATCTGGAAGGCCATGGGGGATGAGGGTCGAGGGTCCTGAGGGCTCAGCTTGATGCCGTTCGCAATGCCAGGGCTCTGGTACGGAAGGCCGTTCTCCTTGGCGTGCTCAGCTCTGGAACAAGACACATCCCTGGTTCCTTCTCTGGGAAGCGGCTACAGCCACGGCTTTGCATCTAGAGCTGGTGGCCCAAGCCTAGCAAACGTCCCGAATCTCTTCCAAACCACCAAGCGCTCACTCAGAAGACCCCAAGGTGGCCCACGGGTGCCAGGGCAGGGCTAGTGAGCTCAAGTGCAGACTCACCGCGGGTGCAGCTCGCTGGCCGCCGTTTTGCCACTGGCCACGTGGTCCTGGCTCAGGTGCCGCCTCAGCACCAGCTTGGCCGGGGAGAGCCGGGTGTAGTCGGGCAAGGCCAGGCCCGACATCTTCTCGAGCCTCGGCCGGCTGCTGTGGCTGGGGGTGCAGGGTATGACTTCCTGGTCCAGCGGGGAGGCCAGGTACTGGGGAGTGTTCTGCTTGGACGAGGGCCGGCTCAGCGCGCCGCACACCTCGTAGCTGGCCGCGTGGCCATTCATGGAGAGCTCTGGGCTTGCGCTGCTCAAGTGGGGCAGGGAGAACTTGGGGCAGTCCAGGTCAAGATGCAGCCGGCTGGGGTCGGCCTCCAGCTCCCGGCCCAGGGCGCCTTTCCCGCGCAGGTGCGCCGACAGGGCATCATCCGGTGGCACGCAAGACTTGAGCTGCAGGAGCTCCTGCTGCCGCTGGCTCTTCTCCAGTTCCACGATGCTGATCTGTCAGGCGAGGGGAGGGTCAGGCCTGCTGCTCGGCGCAGAGGCCCGCTCATACCTCTGCCAAGCGCCCAAGGGCAGGCCGGCCCCACCGCACGCAGCAACCCAGCCAAGGGACCGTCCCGGGAAGGCGCGGCGGACGCACACTCAGAGCGGCTGCGAGGACGGAGACCAGCTCTGTGTGTGACGGGGAAGCCAGAGCACCCAACCGCCCACACGGGGCGGGAAGCGCTGGGGCCGACGGACAGAACAGCTGGTCTCGAGAGCCATTCTGCCAATGTGCACCCGGGGGAAGGGAACGGGGTGCGGGGACCCCATCTGCGCCGAAGGAGACCACGTATTAACCGCCCCGAGAAACCCTGGCACTGGCACCCGGGGCGCGAGGCACTTTCTCTGGTTTTGTCTGCTTGGCTTGGGCTTTGCCGGTAACTAACGGGCCTTTATTCCACGGAGGAATCAGCACCCAAACGGCTTCTCACGGACGTGAGCGCAGAAGCGAGGCCTGGCTCTGCTATCGCGGGCAGCAAGCCTCCTTTGTGAGAGGCTCACCTGGGCCACGACCCTTCAGAAAGCAGCTTGGCCCCAGATCCCGGGACCGGAAACCACTCACAGACCCACTTTGGGGAGTAGGTCTTTAACAAATATCCTTAATGTGAGTCTTCGGTGCAGAACAATTTGTGGTGGTGTCGTTTTGTAACAAGAAAACACCCGAAAAACCCCGAGGGCCTGGTGACCAGGAGGGTTTCACGGTGAAGCCAGGCTGGGGAGACGCCAACAGGGAGGCCACAGCCTTGCAAACGGAGCTTCCAGACGCCAGTGATGGCCGCACACCCTGCCGCGGTCCTGCCATCCCCGGAAGGCTACACACCTGGTCAGCCAGCTCCGGGAAACCTCGGGAGGAGACAGACCTGTCCGTTTCTCCTTCCTCCCAGCCCTGTTTTCCAGCTGACCTCGGCAAAAGGTGCAAGCTCTTACAGTTTCCCGCGCAAGCACCAGGCTCCTCACGGGCAGCTTCACAAATGGCTCGATAAGGGGCACTGGGGAAATCCTAGGTTTTGAATGGAGCCCGAGACGCTCTGGGAGCAAGTGGGGCCACTCAGATGCTAAGCCCCTCGCTCCCCTTTGAGGGCCAGAGGCAGGGATGCCCGGAATATCCAGGCTGTTACTGCAACACCACAACGAACCCCCTGTCCTTGGCAGCAGGACAGCTCCGGGGGGGGGGGGGGGGACGGCTAATGGCGCCGCCATGGAAGCCCAGAGAGCCCCCCACGGCCCCAGCCCCCACCTGCAGCTCCAGGCAGTGCCTCTGCTTCTCGGAGATCTGGGTCCTCAGGGCCTGCTTCTCCTTCAGCAAGTTCTCCAGCGACAGCGTGGACCAGTCCAGCTTCAGCTCCTCACACCGAGCCTTGAGCTGTAGGGATAGGGAGGTCACAGTTGTGAGCCCCGGCCGGGCAGACCCCCGCCCCGGAGCATGCACAGCTGTGGGGAGGGTGGGCTGGGCAGCTGTCCGCTCAGCGGAGGGCAGACCCTGGGCTCTGCAGGGAGACACAGCCGATGTCTGGGCAGGTGCCTCCGAGCGCCTGTGTGCCCGGAGAACAGAACCTGCTGAGAGAAGGCCAGGCTGAGGAAGCAGCCCAGGGGAGAGACCGGGGTTCCCCTGTAAGAACACCCACAGGAAGCAAAGCGAGGGTGCCCGCAGGATGGGACACGGAGGCCCCGTTAGAAGTGATGCTCCTGCATGCCCGGCAAGTGTGCCCTGGTCCCCAGGGGGGTGAGGCCCAAGAGATCTACACCCTGGCCCCCAAGGGCTGGTTAAGGAGACCGGCACGGGGCTGTGGGGGTGGCAGAAGGATATCGAAGCCTGGGCCACCTGGAAAGCCCCGTTTAGTGAAGGTGTCAGAGCCTTTGGAGGGTCATGGGCCCCGCTGGTTCCAATGTGCTCTGACAGCCCAGGAAAAGAATGCACGGCCATGTCCCGCTGCAGACTAAGGGGTCCCGGGAAGCGTGTGCTCAACAAGGATGCCTGGGCTCTGGCGAGAACCCTCTCATCCTCTGTCCAGGGCCCACACCAGAACCACAGCCTGCGGGCCCAGCCACCAAGGAGGCCCGCCCTCTCCCAGGGGCCCACCAGCTGCAGGCTCTGGCTTCTCAGCTCCCTGTTGTCCTTCTGCAGCTGCTCCGTCTGTTCCCTCAGCTGCTGGTTGTGAGCCGAAATCTCCTTCTGCGCCTGGATCAGGTCGTTGTAGGTCAGCGCCTTCACGCCCAGCTGGGGACACATGACAGCAGAGGTGGGCTTTCATGCAGGAGCACGGAATGGCAGGCAAAGGGCAGGGGGAGGCCTCAGCGGGCCCGAGCCGCCAGGGAGTGGGGCTGGGGGCCACTTGGGGGCAGTAAGGGGAGGGCTAGGGCGGCGGCCGATGGCAGTCAGAGAGAGGACCTACAGTGATCCAGAGAAGGAACGAGGGGCTGACCCCCAGGGCATGAACCCAAGCCAGCAGCCCTCCAACTACACACATTCTACATCCCTCTGTCAGAAGCCGTAAAACGTCAAAGCACCGGAAAGGAGAAGGTCCTTCCGGATCTCAGCCCTGGGGCCTGCACCCTGCTCCTGCCCCCACCCACCCGAATCCCGCACTCGGGGCTGTTTGCCGGGCCGGTGAGCCCAGGGCGGCAGCTGTGGTCTCCAGCACCCCTACCTCATCCAGTTTCTGCTGGAAGAGCCTCTTGATCTCCTCTTTCTGGGCCTGGCAGTGGCCGAACAGCTGCTGTGCAGCACCTAGCAACCGGGTGTTCTTCTCCTGGGGGGACGGCGCGTGGTGACGGCAAGGCCCTGTCCCCACCACGTCCCTTCCCACAAAGGGCCTGCAGGGGGCTGCTCAGCTGGACACGCCCTGGCCCAGAAGGCCAACAACCCTCAGCCGTTCTCGCTGGTTAAGAACGTGACCCCGCTGCTTCTCCCTCTCCCACTGCCTCTGCTTGCGTTCCCGCTCTCACTGTGTCTTTCTCTGTCAGATAAATAAATAAAATCTTTAAAAAAAAAAAAGAACGTGATCCCCTGGTGAGCAATGAGACCCCGTGGTGAGCAGTGAGACCCCGCGGCCTTTCTGGAACCAGCAGGGACAGTGTGCGGGCCTGAGAAGAGACTGCTGCTTTTCCTACGGCCAAGGCACCTTTTGGGGGACAAGAGGTGGGGGGCATGGGGCAGGGCTCACCTTCTCCTGGTCCAGCAGCTGCTGCAGGCTGGCCTTGTACTGGGCGGTCTTGGTGTACGCCAAGAACTGCAAGTACTGAATCTTGAAGGATTCTGCAAGAGATCAAATACACAGTTCAGTGCAGACGTGACCCCACCGAGGCCAGCAGGGAGGAGGGCAGGCCTTCAGAAATGAGTCGGTGGGGGGGGCAGCTGCCACCCCCAGAGGCTGCTGCAGTGTCCGTCTCACCGCCTGCCGACATGCCGGGGCCTTCGGTCCCCACCCTGGGCGCCCCTCACAGCACCTGCCACCACCACCCCACATCTTCTTCCCTCCAACACCACGTGGGTTCCCGTTAGTAAATCCACCCATTTTCTTGGGAAGCACGTTACTGATGCTGAATTGAGAAAACCGGCAGCTCCCAAGATGTGAAAAGGGGTTTCTTTCACCCAATTTTTAGAGATAAGCAGCCGCTCAATCTACCCCAGCAGCGTGAGGACGCACGCACTCAGCTCAGCAACACCGGGGGCCAAGCTCACCCGCGACACGGTCTTCCCAACCCCGCGCAGTGGACACGGGCCGGGTGGTTCTCTGGGGGCGTCCCGGGTGCTGGGGAGATGGCGCAGCCTCCCCGGCCCCACCCCCCCCAGGCCGGCAGCACCCCAGTCCTGGCCCCGTGTGCCCTGGGGCAGAAGCCCGCCCGCAGACGAGCACGGGGGCCCAGCTGACGGTGGCAGCACTGGGGCCTGCGGGAGAAGCCCGCGGGGCAGCAGAGCCCCCCCGCCCCCTGCAGACCTGCGAGGTCCCGGCGCAGCTCACCTAGCAGCTTCTGCAGTGCGGGCGGGGTGGGTGCCAGCAGCAGCTGGTCGGGGGGCTGCCGCTGCGCACTGGGAGGTAGCTGATAAAACGGGCTGTGAGGTGGCTTGTACGCATCTGCAGGGGGACAGAGCGGCCACACGTCAGCGGCAGGCTGGTGCCCCGGAAGCTCCCTGCTTCAGGGAACCGGCCAGCTTGTTAACACAGAGACTAAACACGCCACCAGACACCGCGTCTCGGCACTCCGAGAAGCAGACTCGAATCCCCACGTGACCTAAGACATGCCCGGGAGCCGTGTCCCCTCTGTGCGGTCCCTCATCAGATCCCGGGGTGGCAGGATGATGGGAAGGCCATCTGGGGCTCGCTCTCGGGGAGCCCAAGCCAAGTGCAGACAGGTGTGAGCACGCCCCGTGCGCCCCCAGCAGGGTCTGGAACACGAGCACTCAGCCACTCAGCGCGCGGTGCTGTCCCGGCGGTCTCCGCCCCCCTCACTGCCGCAGGGGACAGGAGAGGGACCCCACCCGCCGTACCAAGGAAGAGCGGCGAGGGGTGCGCTGGGACCGGCAGACTGCACGCCCGCGGGGCCCGCACGCGGCTGGCTCACCCTGCGGCGAGGGCGCTGCCATCTGCGACGCGGCCTGGGCATGCAGGAGGTCCAGTGCAGTTTGGCTCTTCTTGGGCTTACGCTCCGGGTTCGCGGTGCTCATCTTCTTGGGACGCCCGCGCTTCCGGCCGGCCATCTTCCGCCCCTTCTTGTTCAGCTTTTTCTTCCGGGCTTTGGAGGGTGACGGCTTTTTGATGGTGGTCGCCCCAGCTTTTTCTTCCTCGGCCCCGGAATCCTAGCAGACGGAGGGTGGGGGACGTCAGGGGAGCACCGGCGGGCCCATCCAGCCCCGTGAGCCTCCCTCTGCGGGGACGCGGGGCGAGCGCTCACCATCGGGGTGTCCGCGGGCACGGCGGCCTTGCTCTCGGGCAGCTTGGTGGGAGTGGCCGTGGTGCTCTTGTTGTCTCGCTGCTGCCGGCGCCGGGCCGCTTCCTGCTCCTCCTGGAAAGCAAGCGCCAGCTGTGTCCGCAGCCCGGGCCTGCTGTCCGACACCGGCCAGGCCGTGGAGCGCAGGGGAGTCCAAGAGCGCGTGCACGCACACACGCACACCCCCGTCCTCTGTCGGAAAGCAGGCGGCCCTCCAACCACGGGCGGCGCAGGACCCTGGGGCTGGGGCAGGAGAAGCTGCCTGATGGTCATCTCCCCCCTGCTGGCGGCACGCCTGCCCACACCAAGGGGCTGCGTGCGCTAGAGCGCTGTCCTCCGCGGACACCGCGGTAAGAGGAAGGACGGCGCCGGCCAGCTCCGGGGGTGAGGGCGCTGGTCAGCACGTTAGGACCCGAGTGCCCCTACACACAGTAGGAAGGACACAGGACCCCGGGTAGCTGGAGCCGGCCATCTCTGGGGGGGCCGCTCTTGCTTGGATACTTGTCTGAGGTGGCCGTGAGGGTGCGGGACGGGACGGAGTGCCGGAGTGGGCAGCGGGAGGGACATGGGAGCCCGCCTCCCGGCTCCCCGCGCACAGCAACTCGGAGCGTCCCAGCCCCTCTGCGCCTCGGGCCTCGGGTCAGGACAGCGCGAGGGCTGTTCGCCATCCCGGACCTCGGCACGGCTCACCAGATCACCAAATCCCATTTCAGAGACTCATTCGACCCATTCCCCAAAAACGTGCCCAAGAGTTGTGGCCACCGAGGCTGCTGAAGACGAGACAGGTGAGCGTGTGGGCCCCAGGCCCCCGTCACTCAGGCCAGCCCCATTCCCCATCTGCACTGCCCTCCACCCGCAGCGCACACACGTCATGAAGGCAAAGGAAAACACACACTTACCCTGAGTTTTGGATTTTTCAGACTAGAAAAATAGTTTTCAAGCTGAAAATGCAAAGAGAAAACACAAGGCAGAGTCTCAGTACAAGTCCGCCCCAAGCCCTGTTGGGGTGAAAGCAGTAACCCGGGCACGCGGACACCAGGCACGCGCAGAGTGCGGCGGTGGCTCCCGGACGGACGGCTGGCAGGGCACGCGCTCCTGCCCGGGGACCCGCGGGGCTCAAGGACCCCGCCCCTGCAGTGCGGCCCGCACACACCCCCCGGCGCCGTCCCACGTGGAGCCAGCGGCCCCGCGGTGGGCCCGGCCGAGAACCCGGGTTTCTGGGAGGCCTCTGACACCAGGGCGGAGCCGCCGCTCCACGAGTCCTCGAGACAAGGAGTGCCCCACACGAGGGCGGAGGACAAGGAAGGCAAGACAGACCAGGGCCCCCCCGCCCGCCCCCCGCCCCGCTCCCGCTCCCGCTCCGTGCGCGCTGAGGGCCACGTGGGGCACTCACTATGGTGCGGTCGATGGTGTGCAGGTAGTAGGAGACTGGCTTCCCCGTCCAGGACACCGAGCCTTTCAGGGGCGAGAGCTCCACCACGCGCATGATGGTCCCGATGTCTGCGTACAACAGGCCACGCTCAGGGCCCCTCCTGCGCCCAGGGGGTGGGCGGGCAGGGCCCTCTGTGCCGCCTCCCGTCTCGGGGGCTCCCTCCCCCACGAGAGGCCCAGCTGAGGCAAGAAGGGGCGGAACTGCGGTCCCTCACCAACCCAACCGCCCGCCAGCACGCCCCTGGCTGGGTCGGGGAAGCTGGGTCGCAGAGGCGTGCATGGCTACGCCGAGGGGCTTGTCCGAGGCAGACAGCGACAAGCCTGGGGCGGGTGGCATCGGAAGGCACTTGGAGGACGACTTAAAAACCATGTGGCAACAGGAGCTCCCAGCAGCACCCGAGAAGTCACGAGCCCCCGAGGCCCATGCGGCCCGGCCCAAGGGCCCGGCTGAGCTCCTGCCGCGGGCTCTCTGCCACCAACCCTCCCTGTGCAGGGACAGGGCGACCACCGCCTGCTCAGGCCAATCACAACAGGGACGCGAAGCGCTCGGCAAACCTGTCCCTCTGAGTCCCACACCGGGCCACCCTGCCCACCGGGGACACAGGGCCACGTGTGGGGAGGTCTGTGGTGGTCAGGACTGGGGGTGCTCTTGGCACCGAGGGGGTGGGGCCGGGCGTGCTGCTGAAAGCCCCACAGTGCCCGGGACACCCCCGCAGAGAACGACCTGCCCTGATGTGAGTAGCACCAGGGGGACAGGCCCCACACTGACACACGTCAGATGCTCAAAATCACATATGTTAATAATTCAGCAGCGAGTTTCTTACCACTCAAGTTTCTGCTGTTTATTCTGAAGTTCAGAGGCGCAAAGGGCTTCGAGGACACAATTCTGCCACCTGAAACACAAACACCAGTTACTGCCCTTCGTGGGGGGACAGCTACACACCACAAATGGAAGGAAAACGACGTCTGGCGGAGGAGGGAGCTGCCACGGGGACAGCAGCATGGCTGAGTCCCATCCGCTTCCCACAGGTCAGAGCAAAACCAGGAGAGGCTTTCCCCATGGAAGTCCGTCCCACGAGCGGCCCTCGTGGACAAACGTGCTCTGGGCCCCACAGTGCTGCCCCGCAGAGCTCCCAGCTGGGGGTCACGCCGGCACCGGACGGACACCATCGGCGAGGACATGCGCCCCCTCTGCCATCTCGGCACTTGTGCGGACGAGTCCCACAGTTGCAAGCGAGTGCGAGTGGCCAAGGCAAACCCTGAAGTCCCACCACCGGACTGCCAGGCGGGCCGGCCACGCTGACGGCAGCGCTTCCGTGTGCCGAGCTCTAAGGAGGAAAAGGCGCACAGAGGGAGGCTCAGGAGGGAGCTCCCAGCACGCGCCGGAGGACACACTGCAGATGGGTAGGTGCACGCTCTCAGAAGCCATACTTCTCGGTGGGAAGAAGAAAGAACCAAATGGAAAAGAAACACACCTGCCGGCCAGGGCACCCCCATCCCGAGGAGCACCCAGCCACCCAGCCCACGTCCTAAGAACCATCCCCTGCAGGAGCAGGCGATGGGCCCAGCGCTGGGCCGGGCCAGGTGCAAGGTCAGGTGGCAGCCAGGGTTAGGGCCCATGGGGTCCCATCAAAGGTCTCAGCAGCCAGAGGCTGAACAGAGTCCCGTGGGGCACCTGGAAAGTGTGGTGCTGAGTGGGGTACACCCTGGGGTCCCCCGCGTGCTCCAGCTAGGAATGCACCACACGGCAAGGGCAATGGGAGCCGCAAGGGGTCCCTGAGGGCGCAACACTACAGGACAACAGGTCAGGCGGCTGTGGACCGCAGGGCTCGTCGGGCACTCCTGCCCTATCAGGTCCCCGAAGCCCGCCCACAAGACACCATGAGGGAGGGACCAGAGCAGCAACACCCACGAGCCGATGAGCCCGGATGCCCAGCAGGCGTCGTCAACAAACACGGAGGCACCCTGCTCCAGCAAAAGCCCACCTGGCCCCTGGCCCGGGACGAGCCGGCCAGAAGGTGGGCCCTTGGGCGGGCGGCAGGAGAGCGACAGGTGGAGGGGCCCTCCGTTCTGTCCTGGGGCTGGCGCGTGGCTCGGTGCCCTGGGACAGCCACCGTTCACTCCTACACAATGGTCAGGAGCGACCCGGGCCGCGTGCACACGCTCCCCTGCACACAGACCAGCACGCACACCACGCAGCTGTCAGCGCCCAAGGCAGCTGTAACCACCCGCGGCTGTGCTGGGCTCTCCTGGGTTAGGAGCGCCAAGGCCGCCTCCAGGCCATCGCAGAGCCTAGAAAACCCAGCAGCTTTAGCACTTGTGTTAGGAGCTGCAGTGACTGGTCGAGGATGAGGGCACTGCCTGAGGCTTCCCACCCAGGCCCCTGAGCACAGGGCCCAGGCGGGCCGATGCCCACAGTAAGGTCGCAGCCTGTGGCCTGCTCCTCCAACAGGGCATGTCACCCTGAGGACCAGGGAGGCCAGCCACGTTCATGCCAGGAGAACCCGAGAAGGACGGGCACCCAAGGCAGAGCTCTAATGAGGATGGCAGCAGCAGACCCAGAGCCTGGCCACCCTTCACCCCGGGCGTTTGGGAGGAGGGGAGTCCACAGACTGGGGTCTGAGCCCTTGGCTGGAGGACTTGACCCACAAGCCGTGGGTTCATCTCGATCCTGAAACACAGTGGGCTATGACCAAGGACTTCGGATTCAGTGTGACACCGAGCTCAGCCGGACAGAGGGCCCCCCACTGTCCTGAGACTTTCTCCACGTGGAGAAAATGAGAAATGAAACAGCCAGAACCTTGACTCTCGGCTCAGTGAGGACACACAAGCAAGAGGCATGAGGGTGCAGACCGAGGGGAGCAAACAACCAGGCAACATGGCCCTCGTCATGGGAGAGACGGGAGGACCCACTGCGGCCCGGCCCGTGCGCCCCAGACGGCGCCCAGAGTGACCGGCACCTGCAAGAAGGGGCTGATGTTTCTCTCTTCCTCCAGGAGCTCGCTGGGCTCTCCTGTGCTCTCAGTCAGAGCACACACGCTGCAACCCGCTGCAGTTACAAAGGCCTGAAAGGCGTTCAAATCGAACTAGTTCACTCCCACCTACTTAGAAGGTTCTGGACTGGATGGTCTTCTCTGCCTGACGTTCCAAGTGCACGAGGGCTCTGGGCACAGCAAAGCGAGAGGAGACACTAAGCTGCGCTGCCTGGCGCCTGGCCACAGCCCGATTCCCCTACCGGCGGCTAAGCTGGGGCCCGAGGGTGCACCCTGCCTCGTCCAGCCGGCAGGGCGGCCGTGGGAGCAAGGCACGGGGCCCACGGCACACACCCTCTGGCGCAGGGGGGTTCTTGAGGCCACCACTCAGGACGGCCACCCTCCGGTGCGCCACGGGCCACAGGAGCAGCCAGGGACAGCAGAGAGCTCCCGGGAAGGAGCAGCTTGCCGGCCAGGTCGCAAGGCTGGCTGAGAGGCTGCACGCCAGTCTCAGCTTGCCAAGATTCAGAAAACAAACTTTTCCCTAGAAGGTTCAGGCCAGATACAGTACAGGACCTCGCTCTACAAAACCACCCACACAATTCCAAATCTAGAAGCCTCCACGAGCACAAGGAAAACACAGTCCTACCTAAATGCCAACCGACTCCCAGGGCAACAGCCCAGCTGCAGAACGAGAGCACAGCTTTCGAGCTCCTTCCGAGACGTCCCCCACAGCTGTGCCCAGAAGCTCCGCTGCAAGTCTGAGACGCACGAAGCAAAGGGGCCTTCCCTCCCCCAACCAGGGACAGGAAGGCGGACGAGGGTGGCAGGGGCAGCTCTGGCCGGGCTGAGAGGGGCCCAAACGCAGGAAAAACCCAGAAAAAGCCAAGGAGGCCCATCTGGACGACCCCAGTGGCCTCACTGCCCCCAGGTTAGGGTCACCAGATGGAACAAGGACGCCGGTCGAGTCTGAATTTCAGGTACAGTGAGTGATCCCTCAGTATGAGCTTGTACTGAGACGTTATTGGCCGTCTCCAGGGAATCTGAGTGTGACTGCATGGCCTGCAGCCCGCCTGTTACTGTGGCCACCCACCCCAGGTCCCTCGGGCCCACTGGCAGCTCCTGCCTGCGGGAGGCCCAGTCGGCCCTGCCGCGCATACTGATCCGGGAGGCACCCGGCCCGCAAGCAGGGGGCAGAACCGCCGTCAGCAGACCCCTGGGCCTGAGGCCTTCCGCCCGGCCCGCACATGGAGGGCTGTCAGCACTTACAAGGGCCCCAGGCCCTGCGGTCAGTGCAGGAGCCACAGACAGACCCGAGTGGGTCTCGGGCGCCAGGAGCACATGCTGACCGTGACAGGGCAGGGTGAAGGGGGGGTACGTTACCTTCCTTCATGTTCGCAAACCGCTCCTTCAGCTGGTGATCCACCTCAGGACCAAAGGCAAAATTATTCACAAATATAACACTGCAAAATAATATTCCAGTTGAGTAAAACGAAGGTTCCATTTCCGCACGTGTAGAGTTCCAGGGCACACCACGCCTACCGCCTCCTCCATCAGCTCCCCCAGCCCGGGGACGGGACCCGGGGCCCGCGGGGCCCAAGGGACAAGCCGGCTGCACTGGTGGGTGGGTGGTCCCCGCCTGCCCCCGGGATGTCCCTGGGGTGGGAATGTGGACGGCACAAAGGTCACCTGGGGACAGAGGTGTGAGGACCCCATCAGGCTGCATTTGAAAGGGAGCCGCCTGAGGACCTGCAGGACCAGAGGCAGAGTCCTTCTCCTTCCTCCCACACGCTCTGGCACCGGACAACCCAGGAGCCTGGGTCCGAACACGCCAACCGGGGTGGCGGGGGAGGCTGCTGCCCCACTCTGGGCACGCGGAGACACAGTCCTGCCTGCCCGCCCGGGCCCAGCTCGTGCCCACTCGAGGCACTCTCTGAATGGCTATGCTCTCCCCACAGCCGTCAGCTGGGTCATCTCAAGTCCCACAGGTGAGACAGCTCCCGACCCAGCTGTGCGGCCCTTCTCTCCCACGTAAGTGCCTCCAGATAAGACCTGGGCCAGGGGGCAGAACTGCGGACGGAGGGTTTACGTCCTCTTTTGAAAGGGACAGAAGACAGACTGGGCTGACGGCCATCCCCTTGCTGCTTGTTAGAGTCTCGACAGTCTAAAATCGAGACTCTGGAAGCCGTCATAGCAACCAGGAAACAGAACAGTCACGGGTGACCTGACCAGAGTGAGAACAGACACCAGACACCCGGTGGGCAGAGCAGCAGGGAAGAATCATTAAAGACACGGATCGAGCCCAGTGCACTCTCCCTGCCCCACCGCACCACAAAGCTGAGGACGGGAGGCTTTAGGCTGAGGCGCAGGCGTCCTTGGGAGCCAAGGGACGGAGCCCTGACGAGACAGCTGGGCGGAAAGAGCTCCCACAGAGAGCAAGGCTGGCCTGTCCCAGTCCCTACTCGGGAACAGAGCCTGGGAAGGCAGGACATGAGCCAGCAAAGGCCCTGCGGACGGCTCTGATGTTCCGAAGGCAGCCGCCCCTCCCATCTCATGCACGAGGAGTCCAAAGCAGAGATGGAGTCCCTAATAAGAAAGGGGCCGGAAGGGGCACCTGGGTGGCTCATTCGTTCAGCGTCTGCCTTCAGCTCAGGTCATGGTCCCAGGGTCCTGGGATCGAGCCCTGCATCGGGCTCCCTGCTCCACGGGAAGCCTGCTTCTCCCTCTCCCACTCCCCCTGCTTGTGTTCCCTCTCTCACTGTGTCTCTCTGTCAAATAAATAAAATCTTAAAAAAAAAAAAAAAGAAAGAAAGAAATGGGCTGGGAGGGGAGGGGACACCCCTGTCGGGAAGCGGAACACCTGACGGGTTGTCAAGGGGATGCTCTCCCATCACCAAGGCCTGTTCCCACTCTGCCTGCAGGACAAGGGGCAGACGAGGCCCGGGGGACGGTGCCCTCCCCGTGAGCTCTCACATCGCCAGGGTGACCACAAGATGAGACACCTTGGCCCAGATGCTGCTGGCCAGCACTGGAGAGCCCCCAGACCCCCACGGATGGGGATGCCCATGGGGTCAGCAGGGGTCTCTCAGGGAAAGGGGGAAGACCTGGCCAGTAGGGGAGAGCAGAGTGGACCCAACTCAGATGAGGACTTCTCGTGGGACAGCCACAAAGGGAGAGGCTCTGGAAAGAGCAGTGCCCAGTTTCTACCTGCCCCCAGGAGTTAGTGGGGACTATGGGGCTACAGGCAGTATGTGCCTGAAGGAAAGACAGAGAGAAGCCAGACGGCAAGGTCTCCTAAAACAGTGGGCCACCATCGGCAAGAATGACTTCTCCCCAGGAAGATGGCTCTGGGGTGTGCAACGCCTCTTGGGTCCCCAGGCTTCTAGCAGTCTCCAGCTGACTGGCACGCCCCCGGCCTGAGGTCAGGGGAAGGGCTGCAGACCAGCTCCGGCCCACAGCGGGTCCAGAGGAAGGTGTGGGCAAAACTGCAGCACCCCAGATGCGTGGGACAAGACGCCACCCCATGGCAGGTGCAGAGAAACAGCCCTGCCCCCACACCCAGCTGGGGGAGGTGCGGACACAGCAAGGACCTGCACGCTGAGCGCAGGGCTGAGACAGCTGGAAAGGGCCCTTCCTGACGGGCAGCCGGGGGACTGCCCTGGGGCCCTGGGTCTGACTCCCGGACCACCTGCTCGGCTACAGGCGAGGGACGGGGAGAGAAGGAGTTCGCCAGCCACCTCTCCCAGGCGCACCACAGCTCGCCCCACGTCCAGCACCCTCCCCAGGGGCGCACACCCGGCCAGACCGTACCTTGTGTTGGCAATCCGCTCTCTCCACTCTTCCGAGAGGAAGTCGCCTCTTTCCAGCTGAAAGAAAAACAGGAGGGAGGCTGACTCAGGAGGCCTCACCCAGCTTCGCGCCCTGCACGCCCGCCCGCGGAGAGGAGATGAAATGAACGCTGTCACGGAAGTGGGGACGACACAAGACCGAGGCAGTGGCAGCTCCGGAGGGTCCAGCCCCAGCAGAGGACACACTGCAGAGCCACACTGAGCCAGCCAGGGGCGAGCCCGGGGCGCGTCCACGCGTGGTTCCCAGCCTGCTGGCGGTTCTGGACAGAACGGGGGCCGGCCGGCCACGGCTACAGCAGAGAACAGTGGTCGTGTCCTCGGGAGGTGCCCGGGGCACAGAGCGCCGGCCCGGCACGCGGCAAAGGCCGGGCTTGCTTTCTGTACCACAGAAGTGCAGGTGCAGCGGCTGAGCCCGGCCTCCCGCGCCCGCTCACCTGACAGCCCCATCCGCGCCTTCAACGCCTGCTCTCTGCGCACCCGGTTCTTCGTGACCGAGATGTCCGAGCTGTGGCACTCAGCAAACCAACAAGTCCACCGTTCTTCAAAAACGCTATCACACCAGGCCTCAGTGGAGGCCGAGGAGAAGCGAGCATACATCCCCACAAAACCTGCACACGCGAGGTCTCGGCAGCAGGACTCAGAAGAGCCAACAATGGAGACAATCCAAAATGCCCATCAACGCATCCACCACGGACGGGAGCGTCCCCCTGCCAAGAACAGGAGCCAGGCACCCACACGTGCGGCCCCGGGGACGGACCCCCAGCCCACGACGCTCAGGGAGGGAGCCAGACACGGAAGGCCACGCGGGGTGCGAGTCCACGTGGGTGACACGTCAAGAGCAGGCTCATCCACGGACGGGAAGGGGGCTCGTGGGGGCGGGGGGGTAAGGAGGGGGGTGACTGTCCTCACCTGCACCCCTACAGATGCTGTGAGGTGACAAGAACCCCCACTCTCCTCAGGAAGACGGCAGGGGCCCACTGGGGCACTCGGCCTGCTGTCGCTCAGAAAGGGACAGAAGACCCTGAGCAGAGACGGTCCAGTAAGCACTTCTGACCCAGGGCAGAGGCCGTGTGCCAGGCCAGGAACCGGTGCTACGCCCTCCAGCGCACGCACAGAGACCACCCGGGGTATCATGTGTATGTGACGTGACGACCACGCAGGGCGCGGGTGGTGGGGAGAGGGGGAGGTCCACCTGAACACTCTCAGGCACTGTGGGGGGCTGCCCACATCCCAGCTGTCCTATCTCTGAATCCTCTCCAACCTGTGGAGCTTTCTGAATCTGCCACACTCCCGAGGACAGCCCTGCCAGGCCTCAGGAGTGACTCGAGTCCACAGTCTTACTGGTGCTGCAAGACAGAGCTCGCACGGGGGCCTGAGACTTCCCTCCCCAGAGGGCGGCTCGCACGGCTGGCTCTCAGCGGCGTCTGGAACCGACTCCGGGCTCCCACCACCCTCGCTGCCGGGGGGCTCGGGTCCCTGAACCGTCTGTGCAGACACGAGGCTCGGGCTGAGCGCCTGCTCCCCTCCCGGAGTCTGGGGTCCCGACCCAAGCCGGGCAGAGGGGCCCGCGAGACCGACCCCCGCAGAGAACCGGGCGCTGGGTCTCTGCCGGTCCCCTGGAGACCACACCTCACACACGCGGTCCTGTCTCGTTTGAGGGGAGCTAAGCGCGTCCTGTGGGACACCCCGGGAGAGGACTCTGGAAGGTTTTGCCTGGTGTCCCCGCCCCCGCCCCCCACGCCTCTGCCCTGAGCTCATTTGGCCTCCTGTCCTCTCTGTATAAACCACGGCCGTGGGGTCGACCGTCTGCTGAGCCTGGGGGTCCTCCCGGCACATCCCCGCGCCTGGGCCCGGGCCCGGGCTGGACACGGATGCTATCAGGCACTTCTCCGTGTGGCCCCCCTCTCCTGGCGGCTCCCCCGTCCAGGCCCCGCGGCAGCAGCTCTGCGTGGGCAAGCTGCGACCCTCGGAGCAAAGGCCCTGGCTGTGCTGCTGGGGCTGGAACACCCGAGTTAACAGTGGCCAGAAAGGTGCGTGGCCCTCCTGTGCCCCGCCCAGGGACCCCGTGAGCGGCCCCAGCGTCACGGAGACCTCCGAGTACAGAGAAAGCAGAGAAACGGGAAGACGCGGAGAAGGCCCCGGGCACGTACAGGTGCAGAGGGTTTCAGTGCCCACGACCACGCATGCCACGGAGACCACCGGTCCGTGCGCAGACCCAGGTGCAGCGCCCCCCGCAGGCCGCCCCAGCTCGCCACATACGTGGTCCTGGAGGCTGCACCCACCCCTGCACGGAACACACACGCTCTCCAGTCAGGGGAAAAGAGCACAGCATCCGAGAACGAAGAGACCGAGGTTGGCCCCACCCAAGTCAGGTGCGGAAGCGCCACCCACAGGCACATCCTGGCACTCGGCAAACCTGCCCAGGAGCAGCCCCAAGTCCACAGACACAGTCCAGCTCGGCCGAACCCCCAGGCCCTGTCTCTTGGCAGCAGCCGCCTGCCGGTGACCCAACCCAGCCCAAGACCAGAGGGGAGGTGGGCCAGTGCTTCTGAGATGCCTGGGGCCCCGGCTGATGTGGCCCAGCCACCCCAAGGACCACAGAGGCGCCATCCTGACGTGGGCAAAGCTGGAGGGGTGGCAGGTGGGAGGCCCTGCACATGTCCTGGAGAGAGAGGCCCCTGCCCCCGAGTGCAAGAAGTGCCTCAGCGCAGGTCCACAGACGCCATGGCGCCGCCCCCACGTGGTTCCTCCACGAGGCCACAGCCACCCAAGTTAATAGGCTCTTGACGTTCGGGACCCGCTGCATGCCAGGCCCACCCTACGGGGCGCATCGTGAACAAGCACGGCTACTGTGTTGTGGGGGCTCTGGGGGCCTGGACGCCAGCCTGGGTGGGGCGCTGGACAGAGCGTCTCCCAGGCGGAGGGGGCACCCTGAGCTGAGACAGCCCGGCCAGCAGAAGCCGAGTGGAAGGAGGGAACGGGGCTCTGACAGGAGGAGGCACGGGGGTGGGTAGGCAGGGCTTGGCGCCCGGGCACCGCTGAGCTGCAGGACAGGGAGGCGGCGGCCACATGGGGTCCTTGGCCTGCACAAGCAGGCTCTGGGGCTTGGAAAAGCACATGGGCTATTTTTAGACTCCTGTTGGCTCTGTTTCCTCTTAGGTTAAGTAACAGGAGCAGGACTCCGTCCGCCAACGAGGACGCCTGGTCAAAGCCACAGAAAGCTGCTGGGAAGGCCTCACGAGATCCAGGACACAAGTTCCCGCCAAACGTGGGTGCTCATCAGTCAGCACACGCTCACCACACCCCGCGGAGCCCTCTGGAAACAGACAACAGAACAGCAGAGGCACGGCCAGCTGCCATCCTGCGGCCCGCTCCTTCCACACACCGCCCGCCAAGGTCGTGCCCAAGCGTCCTTTGAGCCAAATTCTATTCGCAGCCACCTCGCAGGGGCTGAGGCGGGGCCAGTGAGCACTCTGCCCCACACGAGACCCAAGGAATGAGACGGTTTCCACGTGGGGAGCCCCTCCCGCATGCCGACCACTGACCCCGGCTGGAGACAAGAGAAGGAAGGAGGACGGCGGAAGGAGAAGTAGGCGAGCAGCGCCTCCAGCCTCACCCCTGCCCATCGCCCCAGCCGAGAGGAGCTGCCAGAAGCTAAGACCAGGCTACAAACGGAGTCCTGGAAGCCGTGCCTGGAGCACAGGGGCCGTTCCTGAGAAGTGCGGCGACACCACTCCTACACCCCGGGCTGGGGCTTTCTCACCAGAAACAAGAAGTGGTTTAAAACACGAAAACCTGTGTTTTAGGAAGTCCGTTTAGGAACGCAGTCAGCGTAAGAGCCGATGTGGGGACCGTGCGGGAACAAGTTCCTGGGAATGGAAACCCACTGGACTCCCCGCATGCTCAGCCCGACTGGCAGACCCCAGGGGGCCTCAGACGGGGGCCCCGGCAGAGAATTTCAGAAGACACCGCACCAGGAGACAGGGAAGAGAAGCCAGGTCCCACTCTGCCTGTGCACGTCCTGGCTCCAGAAACACAGAACAGAAGCAGAGGGTGCAGCTCCTCTCCCCACGGGGCCGGCATCACTGTACACCCAAAGGAAGGAGGAAGGAGAGGTACAGGCCGGGATCTCTCGTGGACGCGGACGCAAACACTCTCGACAACCCGGTGCGGAGCGGAAATCCAACACCGTGTGAAAACCACCGTGCGCCAGACCGGGCGGGACTCACCCAGGCACGGAAGGCTGGCTGGACACCCGTCAAGAGGCCAAAGAGAGACCCTAGGAGCGTGTCAACACATGCAGGGAAGGCATTTAACAAACTCCAACCCATTCAAGATGAAGATTCCCAAAGTAAGAACGGAGGGGAACTGTGTCCACTTGCTAAGGAACACCACAAAATACCTACGGCTCCCATCATCTCCACGGTGAGCAAGTCAAAGCTTTCCCAGTGGAAAGGAAACAAGAACAAGGCCACGGCGCCCCTTTCACCACTGCTTTTTGGCAGCGGACCATACATACCTACTGTTACGCTGGCTCGTGCAGTAAGACAAGAAAAATAAAACATACACAGCTCGGGAAGGAAGACGTAAAACCACCTCTGTTCACAGGTGACACGATCATCTATGCAGAAAATTTGAAAGAAGTCAGAAAAACAAACAACCTGCAGCCAACAAGCCAATACAGGAACATTCTCAGGTGAAAGTAGTATTGTACGTTGATACGCAACAGACAAAGGTCAACTGCTTTCCTGTAAAACCAGCAACGAACAAGTGGAATTTAAAATTAAAAATACAGTGTCATTTACACAGGCACCAAGACAGAGAGACAAACAGACTTCAAGACCTACAAGATGTACAAGACGTACATGAGGCAAAGTCGGTGCGGGAGAGGCAGGCCGCGTCGGAGGCAGGAAGCCGCGATACCGTCCAGACGGCCGTCCTTCCTGAGCTGCTGCGCGGAGTCGAAGGCATCCCGACCCCAGCCCACCGTGAGCTCTGAGGTGGACGCCCACAAACTGGCTCTACGCTGACTCCACAGTTTATCTGGGGAGGTGAAAGCCCCAGCAAGGCAGACACAGCGTGGAAGAAGAGCCAGGCCAGAGGACGGGCGGACACTGCCCGAGTGAGGACTCGCTACAGAGCCATGGTAACACAGATGGTGTGGCCTGGTGTGGGAGCAGACAGACAGACAGACAGAGACAGAGGAGCAAGGGCAGAGCCTGCAACCACGGGCTGAAATGGCTGGGCCTCCAAGTGCAAAGGCAAGGACCCAGGTGCTGTCCTTACAGCCTCACGGCCCTACAGGTAAAACACCGCTATAAAACTCCCAGAAGACGCCAGGGAACAAGTGTGGGTGACCCTGGGTTTGGCAATGACTTTCAGACACTACAGTGCAGGCATGACCCACGGAAGGAGAGGCCGTCAGGCTGCCCTAAGGAAAGGAAAACCTCCTCTTTCCCCTTCTCCCCACACCCCAACTGACCCCCAGCCCGTGATCGCATGACTTATTCTAGGTCCCTAACGCAACAAGGAATGCTGGTTCCAGCTCAACAGTCAACGCCCCATGGTATGGCTTGCTCTGGGCTGGTGACAATGGAGAGGGCGAGACGTGAACACTTGTAAGAAGTCTCCAGGAGGGAGGAGCAATACGGCGGGCCGTGGAACCAAGTGGAACCTTGGTGATTTGGGCCTCGAGCTCTGGGTATGTGTAGGTAATGGCCTGCGATGGGAAGAGAAGGAGGAGGTCAAGATCTGGTTTGGACACACTCTGTCTGCGGTGTCCCCACAGCGGCCGAGTGGGTGTGGGCTCCATGGCCACAGTGTGTCCAGAGCAACAGATAGAGTAAGGGATGAGTCTTGGGCCCAGACACGTTTCGATGCGTGAGACGCAGATGCTCCGGACAGGAGTGGAGGCCAGGGGTCTAGAACCCCGGCCGGCCAAGGAGCGTGGGCACCGCAAGGCTGGGCCGAGCAATGGAGGCCGAGACGCAGCGGCAGCCAGGAGAGCTGGGGGCACGTGCCGCCCCAAACCTGAGCCTTGCCAGGAGGAGGGACTCGGCGTCTGGGTCACACGCAGCCAGGAAGGTAAGGAGAAGATGCCACTGGGCTGGCCAGCGGACAAGGGAAGAGGCCTTGCCAACCACACCCCGCGGCCCAGCCCCGCGCCGCTGCCACGACACTGAAGGAGGGCTCCCTGAGGCCCGCCAGCTGCCTGCAGACACGCCGCACGTGACTGCGTTCAAGCGTCTGAGGGCTGGGGCAGAGGGGCACCGCCACGTCCCACCTCTGTTCTCAAGAGGACACGGGGCAGGGGCAGCCCCCGAGGAGGCCCAGAGAGGGCAGAAGAGGCGGGAGAGGGAGGAGGGTACTGCTGTGCTGAGCGGGCCTCCCCCCGCACAGCGCCGCACGCCCAGCTCGGCCATGCGCACTGCGCTCCACACCGGGCGAGGGCAGGCAGGGAGGGCGTCCCAGGAGGGAAGAGAAACGGCGGGTCAGGGGAGGAGGAGACACAGAAATGGGAGCTGGATCGTTAGCCGCAGGGGCATGGAGCGATGGCACTCACTGTGTATTCTGCATGCTTTTTTCCATACCATTTCATCCACTTCCTGAACTCTCGGTCCATGGTCTGCAAGGGAATGATCCGACAGCCCGTCAGCGGCTCCCCGCGGCCCCTTCCCCCACCCACCCCCACCCCGGGACAAGCTGGGACTGCCCATCCACCAGCCCTCAGCACAACCCCTTTGATTCCGGGGGTTGCAGGGGAGGACAGACGGCAGGACCTGCAGAGTCCACCAGATGCGCAGGCCACACGCTCTACGGGCATTTCTGGAGACGCACCTACTCCCCAAACCCCACTGACCCCATCAGGCAGACACAGGCACAGCAGTGGTGCCCCTGGGGCGTCTGGGGGAGACAGGCCCAGCCTGGGGGAGACCAGGCCGTAGTCCCTGCGGGCAGCACACACAGCGGGGCCCAGATGCGCAAGCAGAGACCAAGCAGCCCCTCCGAACGCCCACCTTGATCTGTCCTCCCCTCCTTACACCCCGTGGGTCACGGCAAACAAAGGTTTGAAAGAAAAGAGACGCAAACACACACACCTGTGTCCCACCCCAGAGTCACTCACCTCCGCGTACTTGGCTGGGATGTCAGCTTTCTCTACGCCATAGTGATGTTTGCAGTTGGTGGCCGCGGCGACCTGCAGCACGACCTGGCCCACTCCTTCAGAGAGACAGAGGTACCGTCAGATGCAGCCCCAGGGACAGAGGCGGCACCGACCCAGAGTCGAGGCCCAGGACAGGCAGGTGCCGGCCATGGGGGTCAACAGGCAGAGGCCTCCGGCTCCCCAAGAAGGTGCGAGCACTCTCCAAGGGCCCTAGGATATGCCAGTGACCCAGGCCGTGAGCTGAGCCCCCACTAGGGGGACGGCCATCTGGCCTATGCGGCCTCATACTGACAACACTCCAGGGCACTCCAGGGCTCTCGCAAGGGGGGAACCTGCTCTCTGTCTACCTCTGCAAGGCTCCCATGTTTCCGCCACAGCACGGCATGGCCGGCCAAATCCGAAATCCCTGAGAACACCCGTCAACACGGCATCGACGGGGCTTTGATGCATACCAGGAGCGGGGTCTCCAAACCACTGTCGTGTGCTGGCCTCCCCGTGCAGCCCGACAAGCAGGCCGAACGCACCAACACGCCCAGCTGTGCAGGCCACTAGGGGCAGCAGGCGGCGCCCTGGCGCTCAGGCCTCGTGTGCTCTCCCCTCCCACGCGGGTCGGTCGTGCCTCTCAGATTCTGTGCCGGGAGCCCTCTGAGTTTGCACTTTGAATGGAATGTATTCAAATAATAAAAATAAGCACACCAGGGTGCCCGGCTGGCTTGGTGGGTGGAGCGTGTGACTCTCAATCTCAGGGTCGTGACTTCAAGCCCCATATTGGGGGTAGAAATTACTTAAAATAAATTTTTTTTTTTTTATTTATTTGCGAGAGAGAGAATGAGAGACAGAGAGCACGAGAGGGAGGAGGGTCAGAGGGAGAAGCAGACCCTCCGCTGAGCAGGGAGCCCGATGCGGGACTCGATCCCGGGACTCCAGGATCATGACCTGAGCCGAAGGCAGTCGCTCAACCAACTGAGCCACCCAGGCGCCCTAAAATAAAAAATCTTAAAGAAAGAAAAAAGAAAAGAAGCCCACTACTTAGAAACACAGGGTAAATGGCAAGGCCCACGGCAAGAGGACACAAGGGTCGTGGCCAAGGGACGGGGGGAGGGAGGTTAAGAGCTGGGCATGAGTCAGGCAGGTGCTTTCCAAAACTCCTAAACCTTCCAGGACACACAGATAAATTCTGTGGCCTTTTAGATAACTGACTTTCGAAGCATTTTTTTTTTTTTTTGAGAGAGCGCGCGCACATGCACACGCATGAATAGGGGGGAGGGGCAGAGGGGGAGAGAGAGAATCTCAAGCAGACTCCCCACTGAGTGCGAAGCCCGACACGGGGCTCGATCTCACGACCCTGAGATCATGACCTGAGCCAAAACCAAGAGTTGGATTCTCAACTGACTAAGCCACCCAGGCGTCCCTAAAGTATACACATTCTTCTTAAAATACCAATTCTGTGCTTAAAAAAGCTCAAATTCACGATGACATCAAAAAAGTTGTCCTCGCCCGGTGTTCGGGGCCCTTTTCCAAGCACCGAGGCCATGCCGGTTTGAGACAGGACGTTGAGTCTGCAGCACAAGGCTGTCAAAACGAGGTCACATCCAGGTGGCAGAGCCGCCCCAGAGGAGGGCTGTGCGCGGGGTTCCTACGGCAGGCTGGCAGCCACATCATCAGCCCTGTCACCTCAACACATCCCGTCTGGAATCAGCCAATCCGAGGCGTTTGTTTATTCCGTACAGTCTGTAGTTCATCACATGGACACCTGCTAGGCCGCACTGAGGACAGGCCCTGCCCTCAGGAGCCTCCACTCTGGTGCCAGAGGACCAGCCATACATAAAGGAGGGGGGCGGCTAGTGAGAGCCGGGGGGTGTGGGGAAGGGGCGAAGACACCCAGCAACGTGGGGGGCTGGTCTGCAGTGGTCACTGGGGTCCCCTCTGAGCCAAGAACAGGTCCCGCAAGGCAAGCAGGGGTGAGAGACAGGGAAGGGCCCTTGGGAGTACGACGACCCGGCCTCTCCTCTGTGCAGAGCACCAGCTTGCTTGCAGAGAGGGGCGGCCCCCACCGCAAGGGGCTGCAGGCGGCCTGGGGTGCTGACCGAGCCGCCTCCTCCATCTCTGGGGGCCAGCACGGCCTGCCCACACTCACCACTGCCCAGGTCCACAAACAGGTCATCCTCGGTCATCTTGATCTCGTCGATCATCTGTGCGACCAAGTCAAAGGAGGTCTCCCCGTACACCTCGGGGGAGAAGGGCTCGTAGTTGTTGAGCTTCTCGGGGTCTGTCACCGAGTGGTTGTAGACCTGCTGCAGGATGTGCCGCAGGAGCCCGTTGGACGGCCGAGTGTTCAGTTTCATGGGCTGCGTGGTCCCCTTCCACTAGGACGGCAGAGAAAGCACCGCACACGTCACACGGGCGGTGGTGCGCCCCGGCGCCTGCCCACGCCAGACAACAGCGTGCGTGCTCGCGGGCAGCCGGCCACGCCGCCTCCCTAGGCAGCAGAGGCCACCCTGCAATCCTGGCCTCAAGCACACTCCCCACTGAGTGGGGAGCTGCGCCTTCACCCGAAAGCCTGTCTGGGAAAAGAAACGGGCCAAGAGCCACGGAGAGAGCCAGCGCCTCGTGGGTCCTTGTCAGGGGCCTCAGGGGCCAGAACCAGGCCGGCGCCCGTCCAGCTCATGCTGACCCGAGGAGGGAGTCCTCAGGCTCCCAGCCCTGGGGCGCCACTGAGGCCTGGTGCCCTAACCCCTCACGGTCCACCCCCTTCTGACTCATGCCAGCTGCCCTTCAGCCTCCTGCGGCCCTGGCAGCTCCCAAGGGCCTTCCAGCCTGGATCCAGGCCACTGCCGTGCAGGGCACTGGACGCCGCGTGGCCTGGCCACCACGAGCGGCCCAGGTCAGCCCCAAGCCTCAGGCCCCACCTCCTGCCCAGGACAAAACCGAGGGGAGGGCTCTGGGCCGAGGCAGTGGGTCGGGGGGGGCCCACACAGCTGACACCCAGAAGAACTTCTCTGAACCCCGGTCCCTCACACAGGAGGCCAGAACATACTCATCTGACTCAGCATCCCCCTCCCCTCCCGTCAGGAACAGTGACGGGGATGACTGCCCAGAGAGCCCAGGCCAGCCCGTGCTAGGCCCTCGGGGCTGCGTGGCCCGACACCCCGCCATAGCCTCCCCTGACAGCAAGGCTCCTGCCGGAGAACCCCCACCCCCGGCAGGAGCCCACCCTGCCTAGACAGTGAAACTCCCTTAGAACAGGAGTGACCCGCTCTCTGGAACTGCTTTTGCAGCCTGGCCCGGCCCGGCTGTCGTCTGTTCTTCACCAGGCGAAGGCTCCCCAGACCCCAGCATGGTGGCAGAGGGAGGTGAGGACAGAGCCCCAGGCCTCTCCATAATCAGAACAGCCCAAAGGGATGGCAGGAAAACACTCACAACACAGCTGGCTGAGGGACAGGAGAAGCCCCGGGCAGGCTCCTGACCGCACCTGCCTGCCTCAGCCCGTGGGGACGGGGCACCGACGTGAAGGTCCATATGCACTGGAGACCCCGGGGATGAGCACTCAGCATGCCGGGGACAGGGGCTGAGGACACACCCCACCCCCAGCCCGGTCCCAACAGCAGCTCCCGAGACACCTCCCACTGGGGGTCAGCAGTGGCCGGCCCCACGCCGCACATGTGAACCCCCGCACTCCAGGGTGGTCTGAGGGGGTCTGCGAGGCATGTCATTAAAACTACCCAGGAAACGTGACGGCAACTGGGGGAGCACCCCCGCACGGGTCCCCAACAAGCAGACGCACGTGAGGGGAGGGCAGAGGCCACCTACCAGCTGGTGGATGCTGTCGATGGCGCGGTTGTACTTGTCACAGAGCCTCTGCATGCTTTCGAAGCTGAAAAGGCAAGGGAAGGCGCTGGTCACTGCGGAGCTCAGAACAAGCCACAGGGGCCTGGCAGGCCTTTCGGGAGGGACGGCTCCTGGACATGCAGAGCCAGCTCTCCCCTGGTGAGAAGGCAGAGGTCACAGGGCACCGAGGAGAACCACGGGTGGGCAACAAGGCTGAGCCCAGTGTCTGGGGCTGAGGCGGTCTTCGGCTACGTGGCCAAATCGTGTACCTCAGGGCAGCCTGCGGAGGTCACAGCTCACGGGTCAAACCCAAGGTGAATGGTGTGCCCAGCAAGTGTTAGGTGAGAGAAAGGGCTCCGCACAGCCTTCATAAAGCACTGCGGCTGGGACCTGGCCGGCCCGGACTCCCCACCCAGGAGATGGACAGAAATCCCACCTGCTCCCCAAGCCGGACCCACTGCCCCAGGGCAGTGTGCACGGGCCCTACCTCCTTCCCCGGGCCGGAAAGAGCCTCCATCTCGGCCCCAGCTTGATGGGCATGGGGTCCACCCAGCGGCAGAAAGGGCCCGCTGATTCTCCTGGCAGAAGAGGACACCGCCCAACACCTGCCCTACAGACTCCAACTCTTCCACAGACGCAAGCAGTACACGTCAGATGCCGAATGAGCGCCTGCCTGGGAGTTGTTCACGAGACAGGACTCTCCCAGACCCCACCACGCTTACTCCAGGTATGACTTTCAACGAAATCCAACCTAGGAGGTCCCCCCAGGACTGACTCTGCCTCCAGGGGACACTGCGCATTGTCTGGGAACATCTGGGGACATTCTGGGGTCGAAGGGGTGGCATCAGAGGGTTGGGGCCAGGGGTGCTGCTCAGCCTGTGACGGTGCCCGGGACGCCCCGCAGAGGACGACCTGCCTGCTACGAGCAGTGCCGGGGGGACGTGCTCCGATGTCCACGCTGTAACGGAGGGCGCCACGTCCGCTGGGGGCCCCTGTCTACCTACGTGCACACACCGCAGCAGGGAGGCTTCCTCCCCGAGCCAGACGCCAGGAGCCTGGGAGAGGTCCCTCCACACGGGACACGGGAAGCAATGACCATGCTGTGGCACCCCAAGCCGCCCGCCCCACTGGCCCCTGCATCTTCACTGACAGCCTGCCCCTCATCCTCGGCCCCAGATTTACCCCAACAGCTCACGCGCACCCTTCCTTCACAACAGAAATCAAAGGATTCAACTAAGCTGGCTCCCCGACAGCAAGTCCGAGGTCCCCGCAGGACAGCTGCGGTGGAAAAGCGAGAGAAGTGGAGAGCGGGCGGGAAGAGCAGTCACCACCAAAGCGTGATGGGTCCTCACAAAGGACAGTGACGGAGCCGCCCCGGGCCAACGTGGTGACCTCAGGAACCCAAGAGCAACAATGGGCTGTGCTACTCTTCCGGAGCAGCTGCGCTCGCCCCCACCCCCGCCCCCGCTCAGCACGGGGCCAGGCAAGGTCACAAGAACCAGGACCTGGCAGCCCGCGGCCCCGGCAATGCCCAGCGTCTGAGTGACACTCCTTCGCCCTCCTAATTTGCCAAATGAAAGATCCGAGACCTCGGGCTCCTAGTTTCTCGTGCGGCCCTCAGGCGAAAACGAAGGCACCACTTTGTCATTTTATTTCCTCGTGCTTCCCCTCCGCCTGGACAGCTGTGAGCCACCAGGCCTCAGCCCACCCCGGAGGAGGCCTGTCCCTGGACGATGCACAAACGCTGTGGGCTGGCCCTGCCGCCACCTTGCTTAAGAGAGAAATGAGGATCCCCCACCACGAACCTGACCCCGCGGCCGCACCGATCCCTCAGGTGGATACTCCAGACTGGCCCCCCGCTGCCCACTCCCAGTCTTTTCTAAGCCAACGGAGTTTGGAGGGGAAGAACCTCAAACACCCCCCTGCAAACATCTTTAGCAATACTATCCCGAAAAATGCTGGCTGCTCTCGGCCAGGCACAGAGCAATCAACCCATTGTTTCACTGGCCAAACGACTAAGGTCCGAGGGTCAGCACCCGTATGCACCCTCACCCTGGGAGGAAGAGAGGTGTACCCCACTCCTCGGTGTGTGCCCACGCTGCCAGAGGCATGTGCACCACCCGAGGCCATGGGCCACCCTACAGCCCAGGGGCCTGGATGCTCCGCATGAGGAGTGAGCACAGTTCTCTTCTTTCTCAATGCTGAGCCAATGATTAAATGGGGAACAAGGCAGGAGGCCAGGGGAATGGGATCAGGGCTGACGAGCAGACCAAGAGGCCCTTCAAACACAAGAGTGAGACCAGGTCAACAACACCTGGGTGCCGGGTCCTGTTAGGGGCCCCTAGACTGTGCACCTTATGGAGAGCGAGCTAGCAAAGCCCACAGAGGACACGATCCTTCCGCGAAGACTGCAGCGCCCCTGCTAAGCCTGCCAAGAGCTAAAACGGCAGGAGCCTGGAATGTCAGCCTTCCTTCTCAAAGAGAAACAAAAAAACTCCAGGCAGGCATTCCAGAGATGGCCTCACCCTTCTCCACCCACAGGACTCTCCTCTGAGATCCAGGACGTGCCTGCAGGAAACTGCGAGAAGCGGCCAAAGGGCTGGACGCACAGTGACGGACCAGACCCACGGAGACCCAGGCGGGGCTGGCCGGAGCCCGAGCCCCGGGAGGCCCGTGCAGAGGTGCTGGCCCCAGGCAGGAGCAGTGGCTGCTGACGGCCGCCCGCAGGGAACACAGCCCCTCGGCAGCTAGCTGGGGCCGACTTCACACATACCAGGCGCCGTTTCCGCAGTGTGGCATTTCCAATTCCGTCCTCACTCTGACAGCCTCTGCCAATATTTGATAAACATTTCCTACCAAAATAACTTCATGGAGGCGACAGCCAACTCTCAAAGGAAATTGCAGACCAGCTTGTGCCGTCGAAGAAGAGCTGACGGGAGGCCGCGTCCCCAGCAAGCGTGGACAGAGCTCTGCTCACCTTTTGGTGTCGTAGTCGATCAGAACGTAATTCTCCATAGCAAGCTTGAGGTCTGGGATCTCTTCACAGACCCATCTGAAACACAAAAGCAGAACCTACAGTGAAAACCATTCTCCATGCTCTAGTTTTTACTCTCGGCTGTCTCAAACACTGTTAACTCCCAAACATTAAAAAAAATCCTCACTATTCAACTCAAATGCGCAAGAGAAAAGGGCGGCATTAATTCAGAACAAACCACGTGAGGCTGTGGCTGACGCTGGGACTCACATGGCGTGCGGAGCCCCCGCCAGGGTCAGCTCCTGGGTGTCAGTGGGCCCACATGGGACAGAGCCGAGGAAACCAACCCACTCCAGGCAGAGAGCTCGGCACGCACCGTGTGCCCGGGGGTTGGCAGCGAGTGCCGCACCACGAGCTACCCGAGCCCAAGACAAGAAGCTGCTTAAACAAACACGCTGAAGAAACAGAGGGATGGAGGGGAGCCGACAGAGTAAAGGGGCAGAAAAACACACCAGCCAAGCCCAAGGTGTAACCCTCGTTGGATCCTGAGGCAACCCTGACAAAGGGCCAGGGGAGAGGAGTCGACACCACAGATCTTCCAGAGAAAACCCGGGCCATTATGGAAAACGTCCCGCCAAGAGATCTGACACCTTAGATGAAATGAACTAATTCCTGGAAAAACACAAGCAGGCGAAACCGACACTAGAAGAAAGGAAACATCTCAGCAGCCTCCACCCTACGAAAGACCTCGATTCCCTGATCAAGCACCTTCCCACAAACAGACCTCCAGGTCTAGCTAGCCTCGCTGGGGAATCCAGACATTTAAGGAGGAATGACACTAACCGTTTTCAGTTTTAGGAGGCCAGTGTTACCCTGATGCCAAAACCAGAGGGAGATAAAGCCTTGGAAAGACAAAGTCGGTATCAAACAGGAAATCTATCCACCAATATCCCCCATGAATACAAACACAAAAATCCTCTAAAAATACTAGTAAACTAAAGTCAGCAATACATGTTAATCAGGTGGAGTTTATCGCAGGAATGAATCACTGTCCTTCACCTCATTAACAGAATAAAGGATAGAAAGTAGTAGGATCATCTCAACAGATACAGAAAACACCCAAGCCAAACCCAAGCCCCACACAGGATAAAAACCTCCGAGGAAGCAAGAGGTGGAAAGGGGTGTGAGGGGAGTGCTGCCCACGCGCCCACTGTCTCTGCTCTGCCTGCCGGCTCCCTGCGGACTCCTGGCCAGCTCTGCTCTGTGGGGACAGGAGGTCTCCTGGAAGAGGGAGGGCCGTCTGTCCCTGTGTCCCTGTGTCCTCAAGCCAGACTCCCTCGCCGGAGCAGGAAGCAGCTGCTGAGTCCGGTTAGCAGTTTCCTTCATCGTGCCCCGCCAGCCCCAACACACACACACACACACACACACACACACACACACACAGGCCCTCCAGCCCCAGACTCTGCGGCCCCTCCCCACGACACCCCTCCCCAGTCTCAGTCACCAGGGCCAGCTGGGCAGTGCCCACCTCCAAGCACCAACCTGCCCAGGGGTCCCCACCTTCCCTCCTCACAAGCACTTCTGTACGGTAAACTCTGCTCAGCAGCACAGAGGGCGTAGGTCAGGAGACCCCACGGACAGGAAGGTACCGGTCCCGCAGACACCGCCAGACCACTGGCACAAGACTGAGCCCTCCCAGAAGGGTGGGGACAGGTGAGGATGCCGGCCCCCACACTTCCCTTCAATGCTCTACGACAGGCCCTGGCCAGCACCACGTGGCAAGAAAAATAAGTGAACAGCGTAAAGACTGGAAATGAAGAAGCAAAACGTCTTCATTCACAGACACACAATTTAATACACAAATTAATACGCTACCCTGAAGAATTTGCATAGAAGCTTCTAGAACTTATGTGAATTGAGCAAGGTCACAAGACATGAGGTCAATGAGCAAAAATGAGCTATGTTTGCATATACCAGCAACAAAGAATTTTTAAATGAATTTCTTAAATACCATTTAAAATACCAGTGAAACATAAATACCTAGGAATAATTTTTTTTTAAGATTTACTTACTTGAGAGAGAGAGCACTTGTGCGTGGGGGCGGGGCAGAGGGAGAGGGAGCGAGAGAATCTTAAACAGGCTCCATGGCTGGCGTGGAGCCCAACCCAGGGCACAACCTCACGACCCTGAATCAAAATCAAGAGTCAGACGCTTAACTGACTGAGCCACCCAGGCGCCCTTTAGTGATAATTTTAATGAAAGATTTGCAAGACCTCTATATTGAAAACTGTAAAACACTGCTGAGAAAAATCAAAGACAAAAGAAAGCAAGGGAAACTATGTTCACAGAACAGAAGACTCAACGTTGTTAAAATGGCCCTTCTCCCTGGACTGAACTGCTAACTGGAAGTAATTCCTAGAACAAGCCCAGTAGGCTTTCTGAGAAACAGACAAGCTGATTCTAAAGCTGACATACAAAGACTGAGAACCTAGCCTAAATAATCTTTAAAAAGAACACTGTTAAAAGATTTAACCGCCGGGGTGCCTGGGTGGCTCAGTCGTTAAGCGTCTGCCTTCGGCTCAGGTCATGGTCCCAGAGTCCTGGGATCGAGCCCCGCATCGGGCTCCCTGCTCCACGGGAAGCCTGCTTCTCCCTCTCCCACTCCCCCTGCCTGTGTTCCCTTTCTCTCTCTGTCTCTCTCTATCAAATAAATAAATAAAATCTTTAAAAAAAAAAAAAAAGATTTAACCGCCTTACTTTGAGACCCACTGTAAGTCTACAGTAGCCGGGAGAACGTGGTGCTGGCAGAGGGACGAAGAGATAGATCAATGACCCAGCACACAGAAGAGACTCAGGCTAACATTTAAATGGCTTTTGGATAAAAGCACCAAGACAACCTGATGGGGAAACAAAGTCTCTTTAATTATTCTTGATCCCCACAAACATAAACCCCCAGCCGACATACGCAAACATCCATTCACAACTCATCTTCAACCTGAACACAAAAGCTGAAACCACAAAGCTTCTTGAAGAAAACAAAAGAGAATACCTTTGTGACTCGGGCAGGCGAAGACTTCCTGGACATGACCCAGAGGAGTAACCACCAAAAATGAAGGGATACACTGAAGACTTGCACTAGTGCAAGTGCCATTAAACCACAATCAGGGGCACGTAATACAGTATCTCATGGGGCACTCGCAGCCAGAGTAGGTCAAGAATCCTCACAACTGGGGCGCCTGGGTGGCTCAGCCGTTAAGCGCCTGCCTTCGGCTCGGGTCGTGATCCCAGGGTCCTGGGATTGAGCCCCGCATCGGGCTCCCTGCTCGGCGGGGAGCCTGCTTCTCCCTTTCCCTCTGCCTGCTTGTGCTCCTTCTCTATCTGTCAAATAAATAAATAAAATCTTTAAAGTCTTTGTCTAGTAAACCCAGCATCTAGACCTCCTCAGGTACAGTTTTGTTGACTGCTTTTTTTCCCTGTATATAGACCATACTTTCCTCTTTGTGTATCTCATAATTTTTTCTGAAAACTGAGCATTTAAAATAATGCGGCAGGGGCGCCTGGGTGGCTCAGTCGTTAAGCGTCTGCCTTTGGCTCAGGTCATGGTCCCAGAGTCCTGGGATCGAGCCCCGCATCGGGCTCCCTGCTCCGCGGGAAGCCTGCCTCTCCCTCTCCCACTCCCCCTGCTTGTGTTTCTTCTCTCGCTGTGCCTGTCTCTGTCAAATAAATAAATAAAATCTTAAAAAACACACACACACACACAAAAACTGTGGTCCTGGGGCGCCTGGGTGGCTCAGTTGTTAAGCGTCTGCCTTCGGCTCAGGTCATGATCCCAGGGTCCTGGGATCAAGCCCTGCATCAGGCTCCCTGCTCCGCGGGAGGCCTGCTTCTCCCTTTCCCGCTCCCCCTGCTTGTGTTTCCTCTCTCGCTGTGCCTGTCTCTGTCAAATAAATAAATAAAATCTTAAAAAAAAAAAAAGAATCCTCACAACTCAGCAAGGAGAAGAAAACTCAGTCTCAAAAAACAGCACAAACTATTCTCCAATAAAAGAAACCAGGGCTCCTCAGAGATGTGGCTGATTCGCAGGTCTGGAACACGGGAACTTCAAGGTGACTGGTTCTGGAAAGTGAGGACAGGCTCGGGAAGGCAGGGGGCATGCCAAAGGGACAGGGTGCACACTGAGAGAGCCCCAAGTGGCCAGCACAGGAGCAATGTGAGTGACGAAACAGCAGTAATGGGTTATAGCTCACGGAATGAAATAAATACGTATGAGAGAACAGCTCTTCCTCACAGAAGAATTCCAGTCAATAACTATGGAGAGAGTGAGAAGAGAGAAATCGCCTTCAGAAGCAACAGTAACCAGTCGTGACCTGTGAGAGCCACCTCCGGATGCTAAAATCAAGGGGCGAAAGTCCAAGGAGAAACGGGATATTTGCATGGTCTCCAAGGATCTCGCCCAAGGTCTTAATTAAAAGGGGAAAAGCAGTGACTACACATCAGAGAGACATGGTGGAGCAGGTGAGCAAGGTTAATGTCACCACAGTAAGACAAAATCGCAGACCACATGCCTCTAGCCACATTGACAGCTATTCTCACGAGCAGACACTTTTGTCAAACGCTTTTTCTGCACCCATTCCCTATCATTCAGAAGCAGACGACAGACACTATGTCATTTCATTCACAAATACCTCAGCATTCATCTGTAAAAGTTACAGACTTCTTTTAATATTAACTACAATGCCATGGTCACACCTAGGAAAAACAACATCAGGGATAGCAGGGAATTCCCTCAACTCACACAGGGAATCTATGAAAAACCCGTAGCTTTTACCACTTCTACGCTAAATTGTACTGAAGGTCCTAGCCAATTCAGTAAGGAGAAGGAAAAGAAATAAAATCATGAAGACTGAAACAAAGAAGTAAAACTGTCCCTATTCACAGGTACATTCATTTCTACAGCAAGTCCTAAAAAATCTACAAATCAAGTACTAGAATCAACAAATTTAGCAACAGGTCATAGTTAATATATGAAAATCAACTGTGTTCTTATTTATTAGCAGCAGGCAACTGGAAAATAAAATTTAACATGGAATCCCATCCAGAGTACTGCCAAGAGCTCAACTACCTGGGAATAAATCTAACAGAAGGTGTCCGAGACCCCACACTTAGATAACGGAGCACTGCTGAGCGAACTGTAGACAGATATATACCATGTTCTTGGATTGAAAGACCCAGTATTGGAAGCCTCAAGGGCCAATCTCTCCAAATGACCTACTGATTCAATGCATTTCCTAACAAAATTATGCAAAAATCAATAAGCTGATTCTAAAATTTACATGGAAATGCAAAGGAGGTGAAATAACCAGAGCAATATTTTTTTATTACTTTTTTTAAGGAGGCTCCACCCCCACCATGGAGCCCAACATGGGGCCTGAACTCACAACCCCGAGATCAAGACCTGCACTGAGACCAAGAGTCGGACGCTGAACTGACGGAGCCCCCCGGGTGCTCCACCAAAGCAATATTTTAAAGAAGAACAAAGGTGGAGAACTTACTCTGCTCAATCTCAACACAACTCTACAGATAAAGGAATCAAGGTTTTCTTCGGGTCAGTGGCACAGAACCAAGCCTAGAAATAAACCAACTCCCACTGTCCACTGACTTCTGACGAAGGTGCCACGGAAATTCCAGACAGAAAGGACAGTCTCATTAACAAACAGTGCTGGAACTAGTGGACGTCCACATGCAAAACAATCAGTTTCAACTCATCCCTGTACCATATGTAAAAATTTACTCAGAATGGATTAAAAAACTTAAATAGAAAACCTAAACCATAAGACTTCTAGAAAGCATAGGAGAAAACCCTTGTGGCCTCAGATTAGGCAAATATTTCTTAGGAGGCGAAAAACACAAATTATAAAAGAAAAATGTGGACAAATTGGACTTTAATTAAAATTTAAGCTATCTACTCTTCCAAAGACACTGTTAAGAATATGAAAAGGGAGGGACACCTGGGCAGCTCAGTTGGTGAAGAGTCTGCCTTCGGCTCAGGTCATGATCCCGGGGTCCTGGGACCGAGTCCCGCATCGGGCTCCCTGCTCAGCGGGGGTCTGCTTCTCCCTCTGCGCGCGCTCTCTCTCTCTCTGACAAATAAATAAAATCTTTTTAAAGATTTTATTTATTTATTTGACAGAGACAGAGGTAGCGAGAGCAGGAACACAAGCAGCGGGAGTGGGAGAGAGAGACGCAGGCTTCCCGTGGAGCAGGGAGCCCCATGTGGGGACTCGATCCCAGGACCCCGGGATCATGACCTGAGCTGATGGCAGACGCTTAACGACTGAGCCACTCAGGTGCCCAAATAAATAAAATCTAAAAAAAAAAAAAAAAGAATATGAAGAGGTAAACCACAGACAGGAAGAAAACTTTTGCAAAATACACATCTGATACAGGACTGGTAATGAGACCATGTAAAGAACAGTTAAAATTCAACAGTAAAATCAATTCTTAAAAACAGGCAAAAGATGATGAACGTCATTAATTATTAGGAAAAGCAAATTAAAACCAGAGTGAGATACCACTACACAGCTCGTATTAGGCCAGCAAAACCAAACCATGTCAACACCACATGCTGGTGCACTGGAGAGCTACAGGGATGTTCCTGCACTGTTTGTGGGGTACAAAACAGGACGATCCCTCTGGAAAACACCTTGGTAGTTCCTCTTAAAAGCAAGCTGCCATAAAACCCAGCAATCCCACTCCTGGGTATTTACCCAAAAGAAACAAAAGACATGTCTACAAAAAAACCCCACATGAATATTCGTAACAGCTTTATTTATAATCGCCAAAGTCGAGAACAGCCCAAACATGGCCATAGTCTATCCTACAACGGAACACTCCTCAGTAACAAAGAGGAAAAATGACTGATACACACAACAACAGGGAGAATCTCAAAGTCTTGTGCTGACTGGAAGAAGTCAGGAAAAAGAAAAGGACATCCTGAACAAGTCCTTGCAGGTAAAATTCTAGAACAGGCGAGGTAACCTGTCGTGGCAGAAAGCGGGTTGGGGCTGCCTGGGGACGGTGGTGGAGGGCAAGCAGATCACAGAGGACACAGGGAGACCGGTGCACACGTCCACATCGGCTGGAGCGTGCACCTTACCCACGTGTGGTTTCTGGTATCGCCATTGTATCTCAATTGCTTTTTCAAGAAATACAAATATAGCAAAGACTAAAGTGGATGGAGGTACAGACGACACGTGAGTGGTGATGAGCTGGTCCCTGTTAGGCTGGGTGGCAGGTACGTGGGTTCATGACACCCTCTGTCTACCACTGTATCTGCTGGAAATTCTCCATTATAGAAAGTAAAATAAAAGAAAGAACAAAACGAGGTACTGACCATCTCGCCAGTGAACAGAACTTGTCTGCAGGGACAAAGAGGAAGAAGGTAACGTGGTTTTGAGACCCAGGACATGGGGATCAGGCCTGTAGATGGGCAGCTCTGGCCAGCCCGGGGAGAGGACGAGGCCACAGCAGACAAAGGGCTGGCTCAGCAGCTGCAGCACGGATGCTGACCCTCAGCTGCGCAGGGAGAAGCACCCTACTCCGCAGATGAGAAACAGGCGCAGAGGCCACTGGGGCACATGCCAGGCCACCTGACTCAGAGCCTTCCCTGTTAACCTCGACTCTCCCACTTCCTAACCAGCAGCCTTCTTTAAAAATAACATAAATCAAACTAAGGCAACTAGTTAACACCACTGATTGCTTTCAGGCCCACCCTGCAACATTTGCACACATTATTTCACTTAAAATTGGAAACGATCTTGCGAGGAGGCATTGCTTGGCCCCCAGAGCCAACCCGACAGGCTCGGGCAGCTGCAGTGGCCTGGGCTGGTGGCCCAGCTACCACGCGGCAGGGAAAGGGGCCCACCACAAGCTGGCCCTGCCCTCCTGGCACCACCAGCCCAGCTCTGTCTCCAGCCACGGCAGCTTCCTGCAGACATCACGGCAGGGGCCCGGGGGTGGCTACGCAGGTGAGAATTCTGAGGAACAACACGGCAAGAGAGGCCAAAGCCACGCAGACACACAAACCCCCGGCTTTATTGCAGATGCTCAGAGAAGAACAGGGTCCCTGACCACAGGGCAAGAAGCAGTTACAGAATTGCGCCCAGCGGCCACGGCCCGCACTCTGGAGGTCCTTCCAGACCCCAGGCCAGCAAAGAGAAAGCCTTCTGTGGGTTCTGTCAAGGTCGCCCGCCTGAGGTAGGGGAGGGGCGGCGCTCTTCTCCGCACATTCAGGGAACAAGCGGGCGAAAGGCTGTGCGGGGTACTGAGCGGAGCAGCCCCGTGGGAAGGCTGAGTCAGCACCAGATCCAAGGGGGAGGAGAAGGAAGCAAGGTGGTGAGGAGAGGTGGGGGAGCCCCCTGCCTGCTCGGCATTTCCCTCCCCTTCCACAGGAGGATCCAAGGCTCCGAGAAGCACGGAGACTTGTTCAGGGCCACACGCGGACGACCTGGCCGCCTCTGACCAAGCTGTCGCTTCTCAAGTCCTCCTGAGGTGCTCACCAAGAGGAGCCACGCAGGGCAAAGCGGGGTCAAAGGGCAGGCTGTAAGCCCAGAAAGCACAGCTGGGCTGGCCTGCATGGGGGCCCGCCCACCCCGGCAGGTGCCGCACTCACCGGATGGTCTCGATGATTTCATGAGCAGCATCGTGGTGTTTGTCCTGAAAGACAAAGGGACAGGATTTACACCCTCCGGTGATGCAGGGTGCGGGGACCCGGCCCGGGGCAAGAGGTGCTGCTCTGGGACCCCTGCCCACGCTGGACACGCCGCTCTTGGGGAAGACCTGTCCCTCCGCAGCACGCAGTGGGGCAGGGGCCTGGGATGGAGTCTTCGCCCCGCCCCTCCTCTCCCGGCCCCCCGCACCCACCGCTCTGCTGAGTCCTCACGCGCCCCGCCCCCCCCAACCAGGTGTTGCTGCAGCCTGGAAGCCACAGGCCTGGCTCTGACTTACTGAACCTCTCCAGGCCTCTGTTTTCCCATCTGTAAAATGGGGAAACACCAGTACCACAACCATGGGGAAAACTCACGGGGCCGCCCTCCCGCCAGAGCACAGACACCCCCTAGCCCCACAGGGCCCGCAGCATGGGGGCTCACTGCCACTCCCTCCAGGCCTCTCAGTGGGGTCTGGGCAGCCAGGTGAGCCCAGACCTCGCAGAAACCAGGGCCAGACGCGCCCTGTCTGACGTGAGTGCTGCAGCTGCTGCACCACGGAGAGGGCGTGTCCACGCCCTGCCCCCTGCCGCACTTCACAGCAGGTGAAGAATTCTGGGGCAAGGGCCCGGGGTGAGGGTCAGCACGACTCAAGTACCCGTGGGCCCTACCCTTGCTTCCGGAGCGACAGCTCCACGCCGACGGGAGTCTCACAGATCGGAGCTCACCGGCTTCACGTACACAACTCAGTGGCTTCTCAGTCCTTCCAGCGTTGTGCAAGCAATGCACTAATTCCAGAACACTCTCGTCACCCCAGAAAGACCCCGTCCCCATGAGCCGTCACTCCCCCGCCCCTGGCAATCACTAATCTACTCTCTGTCTCTGTGGACTTGCCTGTTTCTGGGCGTTTCACGTGAATGGAATCACACATTGTGCGGCATTTTGTGCTAAGCCTTATTTTTCTTAAGGCAAATGAAGAGCCAACCTTTCCACGTACTTAATAATATCCTCCAACTGACGAAGGATCAAATGACACACGTCACTTGCAGTCCTGTTCTCCGGGTATGGCGGGGGCAGGGGGGCAAGATGGAAGGCAGGCAGCCCAGCGGTCCCAACGGTGGGGAACCTGACTGACCTGCAGCGTCGGCACACTGCCGACTCAGAAACTTGGGGTGGGGACCACTGATGGGAACTAGAGGCCCCAAGACCTCCTGGTAAATGCCAGAAGACAACTGGGGCAGCTCTGCTGGGCACATGAAGACAGCTTTAGCCCAACCTCAAAAGGCCTTAAAGGAATGATGGGAACTGGCCGCAAGGAGAGCCTCCTCGCGGGCCGCGGGCACAGCAGTCCCAAGGCCCCGCACTGCCTGCCCCCCACGTTCTGGGGAAGGAACACAGAGCCAGCAGACACCCCCGGCCTCTGACACGGGAGCCCCAGCTTTGTCGGTGAGCCATGCCAGCCTGTGCAATACCCTCTGGGTCCCAAGTAAGCGGGAACACACCCAGGTGCTCCGATGCACCAGGAGGGTGGGCAGGAGTGAGGAGCTGGGTGACATCCATAAGGGAACAGCTTCTCTGCTCATCTCAGCCTCGTCTTCACACCTCCTGGCCCATCAAACACGGAGCTCCTCTAACCAGAGGAACCCAGACTGCTACCTTCAGAGTCCCCACAAACTCCTCGTGGGCACTTCCCTGTTATTTTGTGAGAGTGTCGGAAACAAGGAGGAAGCCACAATTCCTGCTGCTGGACTGCTCGCCTAGGAGCCCACGCTGTGAAACACCACTGTGCCCGCGTGCAGTGCCATCCTTCCACGTGGCTCGACCGGAGGCTTCCAGGCCCATCACCGAGCGGGCCTGTCCACTCAGCCCTTGGCCCTCTACGTCCACACCCGCCATGTGGGCACCAGCGAGGTGGGAGATCTGACCGCGACAGCAGTGGGTGGCATCCACGGAGCTCGGGAGACTGCACGACACACGCAGGTGAGCGTGGGACACAACCACTGAGCTCAGGTGGTGCCAAGCCCTCCACGTGCACAGCCAGCAGTCCATTGTGCAGATGGAGACGCTGAGCACCAACTTGCCCCCAGCGCCTCTCACGAGGCAGCGGTGGGACCTGAAGAGAGGCAGGGGAGACGGCAGCACCTACTGCTTTGGTGAGGAGCGTGCAGGGCGGAGGGGAGGGCAATCAGAGTCCCTGCCTGGCGGCGAGCCGCCCTTTCCCGGAATGATCACATAATCCTCCCCGGGCGGAGGGGCGGGGAAGAAGACAGGTAAGCTGCACTTCATCAGAATGAAATAATGATGCTTCCAAGGACAGCACCAAGAAAGCCGAAAAGACCACAGAATGAGAGAAAAATTCTGCAAGTCATCTCTCCGGAACAGCGTCAGCATCTGTCACAGGCACACCTCACCGGGCTGCACTGTGCAGACAGGGCGCTTTTCCAAGCTGAGGGCTGCGGCCACCCTGGGATGAGCGCGTCTACCAGCACCATGTCTCCCACGGCGTTGGCTCCCTTGGGGTCTGTGTGTCCCATTTTGATCATTCTCACGATATTTCAAACTTCACTATTACTATATTTGCTACGGCGATCTGTGATCAGTGATTCTGTCTTACTGAAAGCTCAGATGACAGTTAACATTTTTAGCAAAGTACATTGACTTTTTTTAGACATCACGCTATCGCACACTTAACAGACTACGGTACAGCGTAAACATAACTTTTATATTAACTGGGAAACCAAATAATTCACGTGAGTCGTCTTACTGAGACACTGGCTTTACTGCAGTGGTCTGGTCTGGAACCAAACCCACAGGACTCCTAATGCGTGCCTGTAACTCGAATAACTCAAAATAAAAAGACAAGGCCATTAAAACATGAATTGACATGGTCACTGCTACAAAGAAAATACTCCAGTGGCCGGCCAATAAGACCAATAAGGACATGAAAAGATACTCCACCTCCTGAGCCATGAAGGGACACAAATCAAAACCACAAGGATGGCTAGAGTCCAAACTATGGACACCAAGTGCTGGGGTGGGGATGGGGAAGTAAGAGCCTTCACACCTGCCTGGTGGGCACGTAAAATGGTGCAGCTGCTCTGGGAAAGCAGTCTGGCCGTTCCTCAAATGCTTAAGTGGAATTTCCATACGGTCCAGCAATCCTACCCCTAAGTATACACCCAAAGGAAACATACATCCACACGAAAATCTGTGCATGCACGGTCACAGTAGCAGCATTCCTAATAGCCAAAAAGTGGAAACACCCCAAGTGTCCATCAACAGATGAACAGACAAACACAACCTGTCCCCCACACACGGGCACAACACTGGGCCACGGACAGGAGCCAGGCGCCCACACGCACAACCCCGGGGACAGACCCCGAGTCCACAACGCTCAGGGAGGGAACCAGACACAGAAGGCCACACGGGGTGTGAGTCCACGTGGGTGACACGTCCAGAATGGGCTCATCCATGGACGGGAAGGGGGCTCGTGGGGGCAGGGGGCTGGGGAGGGGAGTGGGGGTGACCACTAATGGGGATGGGGCTTCCTTGCGGTATGGAAGTTTCTGGAATTGATAGTGATGACTGCACAACTCTGCGAATATTGCACACTCTAAATGGGTGTTATTTGGTATGTGAATTATACTTCAAAAAAGCTGTTAACAGGGGCGCCTGGGTGGCTCAGATGGTTAAGCGTCTGCCTTCGGCTCGGACCATGATCCCAGGGTCCTGGGATCAAGCCCCATGTCGGGCTCCTGGCTCAGTGAGAAGCCTGCTTCTCCCTCTCCCTCTCCCCCTGCTTGTGTTCCCTCTCTCGCTGTCTCTCTCTTTGTCAAATAAAATCTTAAAAAAAAAAAAAAGCTGTTAACAACAAAAACATCTGCAGAAGTAATGCCGCCTAGCATTAAAAGCACCCCCCACCCCACTAGGAAAATACTGAGTTTGTAAGACACTCACATGATGACCCTACTCTGCTGCTGTCCACACAGTTAATGAAACCCAGATTCAGAGTTTTGGCAGGAGCTCACCTGACTCCTGTACTGACTGACCCTGAAAAAGCCAAGACACCATGTCACAGGATCTACAGAAGAGACCATCAGACTCACCCAGCACCAGGACAAGCAGCTACAGAGGTGATGAAGGTGGTTAGTCTGGAACTTTCCACCAAAGCGCCCCCTCTCTCTCTCTCGGATCACTCACTCGAGAGAAGCCAGCTGCCAGGTCATGAGCAGCCCCACGGAGAGGCCCACGTGGTGAGGAGCTGAGGCCTCCCTCCCACCGGCAGCCCCACGGAGAGGCCCACGCGGTGGGGAGCCGAGGCCTCCCTCCCACCAGCAGCCCCACAAGGGAGCCGGCGGGAACAGCTCCTCCTGCCCTGGTCCAGCCTTCAGATGAGGCAGCCCCACCTGGCCAATGTGCTGACCACAATCTCATGAGAGACCCCGAGCCAGGACCACCCAGCTACGTCTGCTCCTGGACTGCTGACCACGGAAACCCTGAGAAAATAAACGTGTGTTGCATTAAGCTGCTAATCTGGATTAATTTGTTACGCAGCCACAGCTAACCGGTACAGATTCTGTGTTAAGGCTGCTGAGCCAGCCCGGGAGCACAGGTGACTCTAAAAACGCCCCTGACCACAAGGGTCTGGGTCAGGGCAGCACCACAGTTACAGGACGAGCTGCCTAGCCCCGCGCACAGCAGGGCAGGGGCAAGCACTGCCGACAGGAGCCTGAGCAGCTGCCGTGCGGCAGGCCCGGGCAGATGCAGGGCTCGCACCCCTCGCCCCATCCTCCCAGGAGCCCACACAGCCTGCCAGGCTGACTCGCCTCACACGAGACCCACAGACCCGGAAAGGCAGAGGTGCCTGGAATTTGATCTCTTCTTGTGAGAAAATGAAATCCAGCTTTCTCAATGCTTTAAAAGCAGAGAAAAGGAAGAAAAAAGTTTATGACAGGGCCTCCAAAGGTCTCAGAATGATCCTTTCAGGGACTGGCCAGCTGCCACTGGCAG